CTTTCTCGAGATTCTCCGTTTCCCTTTCTAGATATCGATTCCTGGTACTCTGTAATCAAATTAACCCTTTGCTTATCTACCTTAGATACCATGAATAAAATTAGATTTCATTGAATGTATACTAACTGTATATTGCTTTCCTTTGTCCAATTATCCTAAGTAACATTTTGAAATATCTAAGAACAAAATAAATGAATTACCATCAAAATTTTTCTAACGAATCAAACGTTTGAAATTAATAATCCTGACGTGGCCTTTCATCAAAGACTTGTTGTTCTTCGTTCGATAAAACTGAACAAACAATTCTTTATTAGGAAGATTCGAGCAAGGTGGACCGTCAATTTTGTGAAGGATGAAAACAGGGGACGATATGACCGGTCTAAAGTAATTCACCGTTTGATAGGTTTCCGTAATTACCAATTAAGATTGAATTACACGGCGCGGCGGCTCCTGTCAGCCTACCTGACGAAAATCTCAATAATTACCCTCGTTGTGATTCTGACGCTCCAGAACCTCGCACGAAATTATCGGGCGTCGGCTTAATTGAGGGCCCCGTAATTACTTCCAGCCAATCTTATCGCCGTTCCACGGAAGGCGTACTCGATTGTACCGTCGAAACTTTCCGGCAACCTCTCATAATGACTTTCTCTCGATTTGAATCCAACTTCTGGATCGTTGTTGAACGGAAACACGAGACGTTCTCTCGTCAGAATTGTTGGAAGGACCAATTGATGAATTGTCTTAGGGTTTCCGGTACTTGAAGATAAAAAATTGTTTGCAAATTTTGGAAAATGCGAAATCCACTGTAGCGTATAATGGTGAAAAATTAATTTTCTAAAGTCTATACATTAAATTTCTATAAATTCCGCTCTATTAAAAATGGTATACGAGGCTCCATCGTCAACGAAGTGTAAGAAATTCAAACGACAGCGATCTAAGGAGATACGTTTATGTTTTGCAGTGTCTTCCGATACATTAGAAACGACTCAACCCCTCCGCACCTTTACCAAATAACAAACCACCGTGAAATCAAATCGTCGTCTTCCTCTACCGAAACATAAAAGTCGTCGTTTAGATAGTAATCTATATAAGTAAAAAAAAAAAAATAAATCAAAAGTGTCTTATCGTTTCGTGCAATACGGAGTGTTTTAAAGTACCGTCGACAATCTTGGAACAGTCAGTGTTCAAAGAATGTCGCACAATGAGCATCAATCAGAATCCATCAAAATCAACTGAACAAAAAGGCTTTAAATAAATCATACCGAGGAATGTAGAAATCACCGATCACTTTAACGATCTCGAACCAATTCCATGCTTTGAAAGATGGCTAGAGTGCGAAAAAAATTTGCAAATCACCTCGCTGTCCCCCTTGTCTTAATCCCGCTTCGATCCTTCGGCAAAGTTTAATTCGTACCGAAGGATTCTCAAGACTATTGACGATCTCCTTAATCCTTAATTTAACTTTCGTAAGCCATGGCTTAATCGTCGATCTCGTTTTTCAATCGGCGCGAAATGATTTGTTCGTCGATGTGATACGAGCGTGAAACGGCAAGCAGAGAAAAGTCTGAGAGGAAAGGAAAGATGCGAGTCGAGGTTATTCTGATTGTCGCCGCGTTCGTGATCCCCGCCTATTGTGGCTGGCGATCGAGAATGAGTGAGTCCGAGAGAAATCGAAATGGATCGCTTCCAAATTTGACCATCGGCCTGGTAGTGCCCCACACGAACTTCGGTGTGCGAGAGTACACGAAGGCTGTGAACCGTTCGGTCAGCAGCCTCCACAGGGGTCACGCCAGACCTTTGCACCGAACCAAGGATCGCCCTTCACCCCAGATGAAGGGACAGACCAGGTTCAGCTTTCTGGATAAGTACAACTTCACCCAGGATGCGGTGCGGTTGACAAAGATGAGGCTAACGCCGAGTCCAACAGGTACATGTAAAAATATAGTCGTAGAAACATGGGGTTATTTATAAACCATATAATATTAATTATACCTATTGAATTATAATAGAATTAAAAAATTTCTATTTCTTGTAATATATATGTATATATTGGACGTCTTTAGTTAGCCATGGTAGCGAAAGAATTAAACAAATGGTAGAATAATATAGAAATTTAAATTTACAATTATTTTTAAAATACCATCTACAAAATTAATTTAATGTCATCTAAATATTAGTATCACAGAGCAATTAGATAATCCGAATATCAGCATTATAGTGAAAATTTCGAAGTTACTTTGCTGACGTTTTATAGCGTTAACAATATTATAGACGGCGCTTTCGATTATCACCCTTTGATAATCGAATTACAAGCCCTTTCTCGGCTCGCGATAGGGCGAAACTTATGCACAGAGGATCCCATTGGATAAATCGTGCTATTGACCTGCAAATTTAATGCCATTCCGTCATTAAAGCGGATTCCGTGTCGAACGAAACATCGTGCTCGTGGCAGACGAGTTATTATAGGGCTTCCATTAAGTAGGTCGAGTATAATGAAGGATTTTCTGGACGGTAACGAGATAATACGCGTGATCTGCGATTGTTCGGTTTGATGTTTATGAAATTTCCTAACTAAACGGATAAATAAGATTACGTGATTTAATACACGAAGGAATTTGAATGTCTTTTATTAGAAATTTCAATCGCGAATCGGTACTATTTAATATAGTTGCAATTATAAGATTCTTTCGAATAATATCAGAGGTACAGTGAATTTCCTTTAAAAATCATTTCTGTGTCGAGTTGCTCATTTTGACACATATTATTCGGCTGATGGAAATTACTAATTAACCAGAATCAATACAAATGAAGTTATAATATACATCATTGATATTACTGCTTGTAACCAGTAAATTGCGCAAAATGACTGTTCTTGTTGGCGATTCGGTATGTGCATTCTGGAACACGAAACAGCCGTGTCTGACACACTGAATACCAGTTATTGTTTCAGCATTTCGAACATACGTCAGTTTGGTTGACTTGTGTCAGAAACCAACAACATACATATGTCGACGATCAACGAAACTCAATCTTTCATAGGAAAAACATACCATTCAACCCACATGTTGCACACAATAATAGCAGTAATACATTACTTTTTCGTTCGATACAGATAGGAATATCTTCTTTGGAGAATTTTATGAAAATTAGCCTCGATATTATCAATTAATAAAATAATTATTTTTAATTTTTTTTTATTAGAGTATACGACAGTCAAAGGGTTAAACAATTTATTCAACGTTTAATCAGCCTACGATTGCTCTAATTGTTGAAATAGAATAATAAAAAAATAGAGTATCATAAACATAGTAGACAGAACAGTTGTTTAAAACAATAGAATTGTTATATCAGTATGAAGGAAAATCTCGATATCGTAGAAGAAAGATTTCATAGAAGATCCTTCGATGTAGGTCACGTTTGCTTCTCACTGAAAGTTTCGTGAAATCACTTCGGAAGGAGTGCTTGTTACAATAACGATGGTATAAGATAGACGTTGAAAAATAAAAGGGATTCTATTTCTCTTTCATGGAACTCAAGCACGGACGTGTTCCTGAGGTTCAAGCAGTGGAAAAACTCAGGGAATTTCTCGGCCATAAATGCGCCACAGGAATGCACGACACGTGTGGTCAGACGTACCAATAGAGTCGGCCGATCAGCCGGTATTAGAAAGTAGAAGCTACGTACAGTGAATCACAGAAATATTCGTACTCGGTAGTTTTTCAGAACAATATAGCATTTCTATATATTTCACAGAAAAATAATTTTTGAATTTTCGAGAGATGGAATAGTATTTTAAATGGTTATTAATTTCGTTTAAATATATAATTTCTAAACGAAAAGGTTTTATATGTTGCAAGAATAATTTTTAAAGGATCAGTGTAATTTAGAAAAGTAAAATAATATGATATACAAAATGGAATTAAAATTGGGGCTCTCTCCATGGTCCGCAGCTCCAGGAGTTAAATAACGCAGTATGAAGTTTTATAACATTTTAAGTGTTTCCTATTTTATGAAGTGACACGGAACGTTTTCTATGATGGTTTTATAGGCGTGTAAAGTATGCTATATACGATGAAAGTGCTTTTATTTATAATGCAAAAGTTAAACCGAAAAATGTTGTATGTTATTTTAGTGTTTTTAAAAGAGATTGAATTTCAAATCCTGTAATATCCAGTGACTTTAACTAAAAACTCTTTTAAAAATTTACAGACAGAAATATTTACAACCGTTTAAAATTTTTTAATATATTTTTTATTCAAGAATTCTTCATTTACAGATTTCAGAAATAAATCAAGATGGGTAATTTGATTTCTAATCAAATGGAATGGACCTTTTCCACCAATATAATAGCTTTTGCCAAGTTTGTCAGTAGCTTAGTTCACAGTTCAAAGTTTCTATGACAGAATCAATGAATATTCCACGAAGTGAATCTGAGGTCTTCTTTTATTTAAATCTGATGCAAAAATTATGCAATCCAAATAAGAAAAGTGTGCCTTTCATTACGCCTGTGACAAATAAATTTCAGAAAGTTTTATTAAAAATAACAAAATAATTTCGATGTAATAATTGAGTGAAAGTATTCTCGACTTTGATCCTGATCCAATGTAATATATTACAGTAACATGAATCTAATTTGCTTAACAGATTGTAACAGACTATGTACATTCATAATTTGCATAATATTGTAATATTCCACGTGAAATCATAATAATGTGGTTAACTAAATTTTGTTACGACCATACAAATTATTCCATTATGTACAATATTACACATATATGAATGCCACTTATGTTTCATATCAAATTTGGTTATTGATACATTTTGGACAAAATCATTCATCAAATAAAGTCATTATACCACGTTTGAATGAAATCTCTCTAAAAACGTACGAGTATGATGAATACGTATTAATACCTTGAATACTATAATGAAAATCGAATCGTGCAGAATCATAAAGATAGATAATTCCAGATGATAGCGATTAATGATATATGTTTCAGCAATTTTGGACTCGCTGTGCGAAGAATTTTTACCAATGAACGTGTCTGCCATTCTGTACCTGATGAACTACGAACAATACGGTCGCAGTACTGCCAGTGCTCAATACTTTTTGCAGTTGGCTGGCTATTTGGGAATTCCAGTAATTGCTTGGAATGCCGATAACTCGGGATTAGAACGGGTGAGTTGAGCGAAACGTTTCCTCAGTACTCTACTCTGCTGTCCACAAAAAAAATTTTCTATCAAATACATTATTAATATTTTCTATTTTCATTTACTATTTAAAAATTGTTGATTTATTAACAAAAATTATCTTTGAAATATCCTTGTATATATTTGACTCTCAAGTTTCGAGTCGAGAGGATGCAGCTGTGTTCTTTATACTCAATTACTGTTTAGACTAAAAGTGAGATAGGATCCAGAAGGTCTATGAATGCGTGACGAATTTTCGTTGTCGATATTCATTCTTATAGTTCTCTCCGTTGAGTAAAGACGTGCCTTTTCATGTGGCTTAAATAAATTCAATCAATAAAAGACTAATTTATTGTGTAAATTTATTTTATTTCGCCACCTATTTCCTATAAAAATATTTTTATTTTATACGAAATTCAAATAATGGCTAGCGTTGGTTCAAAATACAGAAATACTGAAATACTGAAATCCTTGAAAATCACAGCAGCTCTTTATCATGAAGATTTCTATTCAACGAAACGCCTCGGATTTCTGTTTTCAGAGAGCCTCGCAGAGTAACCTGCAGCTGCAATTGGCACCTTCGTTGGAACATCAAACCGCCGCGATGCTGAGCATCCTCGAGAGGTACAAATGGCACCAATTCAGCGTGGTTACCTCACAGATCGCAGGACACGACGATTTCGTGCAAGCCGTCCGAGAAAGGATCTCCGACATGCAGGACACATTTAAGTTTACGATATTGAGCGCGATCCTGGTCACCGAGCCGCACGATCTTCTCGAGCTGGTTAACAGCGAATCTAGGGTGATGCTGCTTTATTCGACCAGAGAGGAGGCCACCCATATCTTGACCGCCGCCCACGACTACAAAATCACTGGGGAAAATTACGTGTGGGTTGTGACGCAGAGTGTTATCGAGAACTTGCATACACCTAGCAAGTTTCCGGTCGGGATGCTCGGTGAGTTACACGAAATTAGTCTGTGATTTTATATAAAAAAATAATTGTCCATGGTTGGAGGAACAAGAGATGCCTGCACTTTTTATTTTCTCGTTTTCAACGAAAACTTTGTTTTTGCTATGCTTTGAATATTTAAAAGTTTCACTTTGCAGAGCTTTTTAACGAAACCTTTATTCCAATGAATTTGTAATTCGGAACGAAAATTTTATTCTCGTGAATTTTCAGTTTTAGCACGAATTTCGTATTCTGGTAAACTCAGCTTTTCACTGAAGTTTCAAAGGTAATTTACATTTTCAAGGAAATTTTCAAAGTAATAGAAAATTTGTTTGGAATATAAATTATAGTTTTGTTGATCATTATATTTGAAGTGTGTAATTTTTGATGAAATTTTCTGATTGTTTCGTTGGAAAATTGTGTAGGGAACAATTAGTTTTCCTCTCTGGTTCTTGAAAAATGGTGCTTGCGTTCGTGATGTGTAATTTTTTGCCAGCTGAAGGTCTTCCAAGTTTTAATTGCTTATTGATTAAATTTCTGTGGGTAATAAGCAGAGAACTTGAAATTGGATAAAATTTATGACGTTCCTGAGAAGTGCTACTGTTTTTCATTAAAATTTCTGTTGAAATTTGAAATGGAAAAAATAGAATAAAAGAATTACAAGATTCGAACAGGTACAAAATATATGAATACGAAGCATCGTTTATAATCATCGAAGAATCGATCGAACGATTCTTCATTATGCAACAGAAATCGAAGTTGAAGAGGAGTCATATTTCAATGTTCTTCTGTAGCTAGGATAGATTCAAGGTATAACAAACACCATTCGATATATTCCCGTAGGATAGAATTCGATGAATTTATTCCTCGGAGGAGGAATTGGAATCTCGAGGAAGACATCAATTTCCGATTTCCGTGATTCTCGCCTAGTTGCTGAGTGTTCTTTTCATCGGCTGCCCACTCGAAATATCGAGCGAAATTCTAATGATCACGAAACCAGTTTCCTCCGCTCTTCGATCAGAGTTAAATGGACGGGGTAAACGTTGACCTTTACTACTTGAAGCACCAAAACGAGGGATCTAAACTGTAACTATTAGCGGACAGCCCATGGAAATGTTGATGATTTAAAGATCATTTAATTTTTAAATTATTATTTCGAATTTTCAAGACAAGTGTAAAAAGTATTTGATAAAAAAGAAAATTTCGCATTTTTTTCACTAGAGAATGATTTATTAAAATTCAAGAGATAATAATTTTCAATCGAAGTAAGCAACACTTGAGATTCATTTATGGTAATTTATTCGTTACTACGTGGTAGAATTTGAGTGATTTGAAAGTGAAATAACAAGTTGCGAATTTAATTGAAAATCTAATTACCATATACATACGTTTATCACTTGCTTGAGCAAGATTTACGTGCAATACGAAACAATCTGCACCTGAAACAACTGCATACCCCGAAGGATCTTTCCCGTTGGGTAATTTCACAAGCCTCAGGAGAGAGACGCGCACGGTAATAACGTTTATGAAACGAAATTACCGTGGCAAGAGACCGACCTTTCTCTAATTCCACTGAAACTTCTCTTTATCTTTGTATCCCTGTTTCCCTCTCTTTACGCGCGCATCATTCAATCCTCTGATATTTTTCGACCATGAAATCCATGTGATAGAACGAGTGGTCGATGTTGATGATAGAAGAGTTTCAGAATTCAATATCTCTGGCAGAGAGAAAAAAAAAGCGTCCAGTAACGATGTCACTTTTCCACTGGCTTCGTTTCGCGGGAGAATCGACTGAAATGACAAAAATTGGTTCGAATCCCAGAAGGTCGTTGTACAGTATTGACAAAAATCCCGTTTTACGAGAGCACTTTCGATAGATGCTTTCATTTATTCGAACAGACTTTTTGGTTTTTAAATCTGTTGTCACAATAGGGTGTATCCAATGATTTCAAATTGAGAAATTGGGAGGTACCAAAATTTACATTTGTTAATTACAAATACAAAAATTAATTCTTTATTTCTATGGTGCAATGTAAGGTTTCAAATAATATTAATGCTACTTAAAATTTTTTTTGTAATTATAATTATTCGAAATATAATATTTTAATTTTCCAGTTTAAGCTTTCCACTTGTCACCTTTCAAAATTAACATAATATTAATATTACTCAGAGTTTTTCTTTATAATTGTAATTATAACTAATCAGAATCTAATAATTTCATTTTTTAACTTAAACCTTATATTTACCAGCTTACAAAATTAACATAATGTCACGTAAATTTATTTTAAATCTTGTTTCTTCAACTTATTCAGTTCTGTTAAATTCGTGGTATCCAGCAGTAACCCTTGCAGTATTCTCATTAATTATATCAACGTCATCATTATTCTTGAGTTCCCTGTACCGTCATTTCACTGTTTTGCTCGTATAGTTTCATTGCTAAGTTAAAGTATACTCAGCTTCAGTTGGTTAAAGTGCTTCTCATGACCAACTATCAGTCGTCAACGAACGGTACATTTAATTATGTTTAATTACAATTTTCTGTTTGATGTATGTTTTTAGGTGTACATTTCGACACCAGCACCGAGAGTCTGGTCAGCGAGATCACAACAGCAGTGAAGGTTTATGCATACGGTGTTGAGGACTTCTTAAAAGATGAAAATAATCAACATCTCAGTTTAAATACACAACTTAGCTGCAAAGAAAGCTTTGGCGAATCTCGCTGGAACACTGGAGATTTATTTTTCAAGTAATTATTTTTATTTCAATCGGATATTTCAGCTTCAGGCGATGCAGACATTTTGATTGCGGCATCATTACTTGATTCTAATAAAATAATTAAAACTTTTGAAAGAAAAAAGAATTTTTAATATCTCCTGTTTATTATAACAAGTTTTAATCAGCATCAATGAATAAAAAGAAATACAAAAAGTGAGACTACTGAAATTTAAAAATAAGCCATGATTGTTTAAACTACAGCTTCTTCTTCTTCTTATCTTTCCACAGGTATTTGAAGAACGTCTCAGTAGAAGGTGACCAAGGAAAGCCGAACGTGGAATTTACACAGGACGGTGTTTTAAAGTCGGCTGAACTGAAAATCATGAATCTCCGTCCGGGTGTAAGCAAACAGCTCGTTTGGGAAGAGGTGAGTCGAAAATATTCTGAATCTTTATGCCGCTCCACCGAAAACCATCGAGGTTCACGGTGAGAAAAATTGGCGAATTTGCAACGACAAATTCGCAACCGTTAACGCTAGGAATTCTATGTTCCGAACACGAACGATTCAATCTGGTAAGGGTTGGCTAAGATCAGCATAAAATCTGATGTGCAAGTCCTGGAGCGATTCCCCCAGGAATCGAAGCCGGGAAATATCAGATTTCTTGAATGGGAGAATTCAGGTGGAAAAGACGAACATAGAGAAAGAGTCGTGGTTTCATGATTCGAGCGAACAATCTTGATTTATTTAAATTTCATTCTGGCATTGATTTAAAAATTTGATTTCATAGATACAGACTTTTAATTTATGTCATCAAATCATGCCAGACTCTTAATATATCCCGAGCTAATACACTAATAATTAAGTAAATTGTGGATAGTAGAGTTGATTCAAACGTATCGGTCGGTAATTTCAATAATGAAGTTAATTGAACCCGTTAATCGAAGAACGAAAGGATTAATTTTCAATTAATTTTTAACACGGAGAAGGGAGAATAAGTAAGGGTGAAAATTAATTTCATAGGATCAGTTAAATTTTCGTGAGAAAATAACCTTTCATAAAATTTTATGATGGGAGGTAAAAATGAATTTGTATAAACAAATAACTGGTAGTTTTTTGAAAAACAAAAATATTCTCTTTTATGTACAACGTTACAATTCATTATTATTCGTATTTGATAATTCTATCAAATTATATTTCCACTTCAAATTTGAAATTTCATATTTCAGAGCCAATTATTAAAGCCATTATTTATCTTTCGAAATAGAATCATGATTCACCACAAAGCTTTGAGTCATGAAGAGATATTGTTAACCATATTCAGCTTCAAATCGAGTTTTTGATTGCTCCGAGAAAACAAAGTTTGATCACGTTTTCTAACAGATGCATTTGACGTTTAATTAGCGTGCAGTTGGTATTGATCGAGTATGCGAATCCTGCACCGAGTTTGATGATGTTTGGATGCGTATCTATCACAAATAAATCATCGAACATTAATCCTTTGAGATCCTTTAAGCTCGTATGAACGTACAAAGTACCTTATTTATTATAAATAAAAAAGTAGACATTAGAAATTATGGATGCAGATATTAGAAATTATGTAAAGAAAAAACGAGTTACTGAAAGCTTCTTAAAATAGAAAAGCGTTTATTAAAAACAGTTTATAAATTTTTCTACAGACAAATTATTTTGATCCAACCGAGTAGTCGCGCGCCGTTAATTAAGAGCTGCAAAACAGGTCGCACGTGGCTGAAAATTATAACGAAGCAGTTGCTTTAACTTCTTCGTGTTCGAACTTTTATTTACAGCGCGTCTAGAAGCTTGATATTTTCCAAAGAGAATTTCGGTGGTGACTCGACAGAGCTTACTGAATTTCATAGCAATTTTGCGACCTAGCTTCGCAAATCCTCGCGTAAACATCGACCGAAACGTTTTGCATCTCGTGTGACTGCCACCACCTTTTTATTTTTCGATTTTCGGCCCTTTCCATGATATAAAATTGCAGTCATCGACTCTCTATCGAACTCGGTATTTTTATTTTTATTTTTCTCTATTTTATCGAAACATTGGTAAAATAGAGGTGCATATTCATTGGTATTATTTTTCTAAATTATTTTTTTTCTAAATCTCTTTCATTATTAATATAATCAAATTTAAGGTTTTAAAAATTTCCGACTCCCTTTTAACTCCATTTTACCTAGAAAAGTCGACTGTGCTCATTACTATACCATTGAATATAATTTTACTGATAATTATCCAATATCATTCAGTGCAAATAAATAACAAAAATTTCTGAGGCTATGAAAAGACTATGTTTTAAAATCTTAACACGTTTATTCATAATTTCATATTGAAATAATTTTATGAATCGGTTAGCCATCGGTATATGTTCTCCGCTTTTCAATTCTCCATGAATGATACTTTATAAAGCATCCAGTACACCAGATTTCATTTTAAAACGTCGTATTCAGCGATTTCATGTTTTTTCCTTTTCACCGGATATAATTCACGCTCGCAAAAAGGAGATATGCTTTTGGAAAAGCAGCGAAATGATTTTACGATCGCTTGATTTCATTCAGGCGAAAAGATAAAACGCGTCAATGGGACAGATTTGGGTCGTAACAGATTAAAAATGTCCATTTAATTGCGGTGAACTACGTCGACCACCGTGGTAGCATTCCAGGAAATACAATTCGTGGATTATCCTTGGATAAACGTATTCTGACCGTCACACGATGCTTTTGTTGCACCCTTTCCCGTAACCCCAGCTTTTCTTTCTCTCTTAAGCTCCGATTTCCCACCGCTTTTCGTTCATCTTTTTCTGATCTCGCCATTTCACGGTTCCTTCTTTTGTCTACCGACTCATTTCTCGCCTCAATGAATCGCCCGTCCACGTCCCTTTTCTTTTGCAGCTGTGTAAATAAGTATTCTTTTCTTCTGCGCTTTTTTTGGGGGGAGATAGTGATTTAATGAAATCACTTTCATCAAATTCATTTTTAATTATATTAAGTATGTAAAATTAAATTCTGCATAATATAACTTGAAAATAGAAGATTAATGTAGATAAAAAATTTTAGATTCAGTGTCCTTAAATAAGCTGAATGAGTTAATTAATTATTAAACTGGAGTCATAATTATGCACCGAGAGAATTTATCGCAGACGTTAATTACGCAAATAACTCACGCAAATATAATACTAATCAATGTTTAAAGGTTTTATTGATAGATTTTATTTGTTTTACCTTTTTTGAAAGTTGAAATTGCAAAGACAAATGACAGCAATACAAGAGGAATTATTTTCGTGTCGATAAGCGCGTGCTTTCGGTTCGTTGAAAGAAATAATTAAATAGCACGAAGGAAACTCTTGAACTCTCGATAGCTTTCAGTGCGAACGAGAGATGATAAATAGCGTCGGAAAAACGAGGGTCCGAACCACTTATTCTATCTTCACTGAATGGCAAAACTAATTTCTATGGAATTTGTGACTCTGCTTTCGATATCGCATCGGAAAAGTGCTGATCGTTGGTCAATTAATCATTATTATCGGACCGAAGAAAGAAAACTTTGAAATTCCAGGGTGGTCTTAGTCTTTTAAAGAAAATAATTAAATCTACTAATTACAAAGAGAAACGAAACTTAGGTAACAGAGGTTTTAACAAAGGATCAACGTTGATTTATTGTTCTTTCCAAACAATTCTCTTTCTTATTCCCCTAAAATCATCCCTCTGGTAAGACAAATATCCAAACGAAGTTTTACCTCGATCACTTTAACTAATAGCGCCATTTACCTCCCTAAAACGATACTACGACCTTCGTTGATCCTCGTTCGCTTTGAATATTTGTCGTCCACCTTTCGACTTCCAATTGCATTGTCCGTCGATTTCCAATCAGCGTTGATCCGTTTCGAAATCGATATTTTATTCGTCAGTGGTTGATTGGTGAACGAGGCGTATTTAACCAGGGAACGTTGAAAACCGGTGTTTTCAGCAACGTTCCAACAGGACACGACTAATTAAATCCGAAATGGGATTTCCTGCTATGTATTCCATCAGCAAGCTATTTATGGCCTGTCGATAACCACGTGAAATTGTAGCTGTTGTGGTTTGAGACTTTCATGAATGTGAGGCTAGCAAATAACCAGGCTAATACTGTAACTTTTAATGAAGGAACCTACATTGGAAATTGTTTTTATCATGCAATATAAAATAGGGTGAAGGTTACTCTTTTACGGTTGATTATAGCCACGTAACAGCTGTAATTTAATTTCAATTAAGAAACTTATATTTTATCTTCTTTTGTTCTCGATATAGATCGAAGCTTAATTTTTATGGTTGATTAACTTCTTTCTTTTTTAATATATAGTAGGCTGAAGATGAGATTTTATGGGTAATTACAGGCAGGTGATAGCTAAGAATAATCTCGTATATTAAAATTAATGAAAAGATTTCTCAAAATTAATGAGCTCAGTTTTTCTTATAAACCATGGCTTTTGAAGTATCTCAAATTTTTGTACAAAATATCTTTTTTTTAATTCAAATATCTTAGAACTATCAATTTCTTTAATATCATGCTGAAGATTCTAAAGAATTGATCTACATATGTAGATTAATATTTATGCAGTTTTACTTAAGAAAAGGATGCAACTGCATATTGCACGTGCATCGTTGCAATTATAAGAAAATCGAAGTCGTAGGAAGATATACCTATAGAAATCGGTTTCAATCTTCTCTGTGGTCACGACCATGATACAGCAACATTTAAAGGATTCGCGAGGGCGAATCGGAATCGAGATTATAACGAACTCTGACATCCACGAAGATTGGTCCTGCATGACGTCAGCCAGATCAGAAAGGGTTTGTTATAAAGGGGAGAAAATTGATTTCGATCACGTCGATTCTCTCTGGATTCGTTTATCATAGCACTATGAATAGCAGATATTTTAATGGAAAATAGATATCTGTATCAACTTTCTCGTATCGACAGATGGAATTTACTGAAATAGAGCTACGATGATTGAAAAGAAAAATTGAAATTACTATTTTCGTACAAATACTTTCCCCGCTGTTATACCAAACCACTAGTCGATAATGAGTTAAGAGGCGCACAAACGATGGATCATAGCGTCAGCCAAGCGTTATCGCTTCAACCAGCTGACTTCTTTGATCCTCAGATTAGCTCGTTAATAATTCGACGCGAGCAAAGTAGTAATCCACGTCGGATTAGCGGACAATTAATTAACCGGTGGAAATGGATCGACTGGGTGCCTGTAGTTTCGATAATAACGCTTCGATCCGGCATTCTCGTGGGCAGGTAAAGGATCCCGATAACGGACACGTTATGCGCTCCTATTAGCGATGGACACGCGTGCACACATGTGTGGCATCAGCAGAACTCCGGCACGCAATTCACGCGTGCATCCTCGGCTAATTAAGGAAATTGCTCGCATTGCGTTGTCGCCGGACAGATGTTACCATTTCAAGACTCCGGCTTTCAATTTCCGACACGGGGTTAATCGAATTCCAAACGATTTTGAAGAAAACCTCACTGTAATTTGTTAATAGAATCTTTGAATAATAACTTGTTCTAAACTATGGTATACGAAGTTGCGAAACTTAGATGCTCCAGATAATTATAATTATATCCCTATATGGCGATAATCGAGGTCATTTAACGAGTGTATGCAAATGCGAGCCAGACATTACGGCCACAGTTGCGCCGTCAAGTATTTAGGAAAGCACTTCCGGTGGCCACTGATAGAAGTTGCGACATTTGGCGACGTTCCAATCGCGGCAATGCCTCTCATAATCGTTAAGGGACCATCCAACGGAGCACGTCGCCTCTAATCTGTGGAACTTCCTGTGAAACTTGCCGCAGGCTTACGCGACCCCATGGATCCCGCTTTCTGGATCAAGTTTTACGACCACCAATTGACTCTACAACGCGTAGGTTCTGGGCAAGAACGCGATACAGGGAGGAGATGATTCTGATTTCTAATGTTGAATTTATGGCAGACGGAGAAAATCATTATTTCTTAGGGGTAGTTGAACGATGGAGAATCTTACATGATTCGATGATATAAAAGTATCAAGGTCTAATCATTAATATCAATTTAAAGCTTAAGATTTAATTGAATTTTTCAATATTAAAAATTTTATTATCGCTTTAAAAATTAATCTACTCATACAGGTGTAGCAGTCGAGAAAACAAACGGTGTTTCGTCTCGGGATCGTCTGTCAGACTCGTCAGTGGGGCTGATAACAGACGACCCCTGTCCCAGACACCTATCATACCGCAATTCGAAACTTATATATATTTGAGCCGCATGCCGGGCGAGCGCCGCCACCTAGCGCACTCCCCGTCTCTAAGGGGGAGACGAAACCCCTTACACTAAACGATTGCGACATAGGTTTTATTAACTCTAGGTGCCTAAACTAATTATAAACTGTAAAACTACATAAACTATGAATAAAACGGATTCGTCGCAGATGCGTCCTAGACTCGTCGCAGGGCACGTCTATTCCCCATACGTCGTCGTCGTCAACTGATCGTCGACCCCCTGCGACTCCCCTGCCGTCACCAGTGCGATCCAGAATATTCTGGAATACGTCTTTTATTTCCTATACTAATTTGTTTTTAACGAGTAATCAACGTTTAACATACTGCGTGTAATTAAAGCAGTACCTATATACATACATAGGTTGAACAGTACCGGGAGAAGAAGTTTGTTAGCATTAATATACCGTTACAGACACCATAGCATCTGGTGAAGTAATAAACTACCTAACAAGCCATAACACTGCCTCTAATGTTTGACTGCTAATGGAACGTGATTAACAACGGCTTTCTAACGAGATCGTGCGGTACACAGGAAACTTTCCGGCAAGTTTCGTTCACAATTGATAATGTCCGAGGCTTTTCATCGTGTTCCTGAGAAAGTGTATTCCGTCGTTAGGTTAGCCGAAACTGGTTGTCTTCGTATGAACTTTCTATACACTTTGATATTATTTAGAATAATCAGTGGTGTTACATTGTTGTCCGGGAACAATTTGATGATCGATAATGTTTTGTCGAAATTGATTATCAGGATATTGATTAACTAATTAGATACTTCATTATTGAATTGATCTAATCAAAATTAATTAGCCATAGAACTAGGTTTAATATACAAAATAATTGTAGAATATTATTTCAGCTTACAATTTTTATTTAAAAATTCTACATTTTTATATAAAATAAAATTTGTATCATGGATAACATGAATAGATAAAAAAATTAATTTGATTGCAAATAATAGATACCTTGTATATTTAAAAAGCCTTTTAATATTTGTAGAAGCTTAACAGTGTTTGTTATACGTTACTAAAAAAGAAATAATACATTTGTTGATCGAATCAAATCTCCAACAAATGATAATTTCAAAGCGATCATAATGACATTGATCACCTCCTGAACGTGTCGATAGCTTCCTATAATTCACATCTATACATTTTAAACGACATTAATGCTTTTTTTCCTCGAGAATCCATAGAGGTTTTACCATTATATCCCCCTCATTCGCATCGAAGGACCATTTATTTTTCCGCTTCTTCATCCACGAGCGTCTGAAGGTTCATTTCGTTTACGAGGATCCGAAAAAGCCACCGTGGTTCCATTAAATTTCTCATTTATCCCAGCTTTATTACGTTGGCTGAAAGACGTATGTAACGTTGTTATACGATCGCGCCCCTTGCATCTTGCTTTCACGGTATCATCCGCACCCCTTAAATGACACGTGAAAATTAATCGGGCTCATTACTCACGCTTGTGAATCCCTCTCGTCGCGGCAACTTTTGACGACCGGATGAAATGGCTCGTATTTATATGCAACGCGATTCGTTAGTAACGTGGCCGCGATAATGAAGATCATGATTAAACGAGGGATCATTAGTTTTACCTTCATTCGAGCTTGTTACGTGAGCCGAACCGGTAATTGAACTAGGGTAATCAATTCCTTTGAATGAAAACTTTTTTGCTGTCTTGTCGTTTAAGATATATTAAAATTTTAATATTCGTGGAAATAAAAGTGTTGTAATAAAAATTGTAACGATTACAAGGTTGAATGTTTAATCTTTTTTTAGTAAGTTAATTCCTTTAAAGAGTGATCGCAAAAAAGGGAGATAATCGTTAAATAAATTCCACAGGAATTTGATTTACCGACGATTGATGACACGAAAGTGGATTATGATTCATTCAGTTTCAATCCCTACTTCGCAAATTCGAATTGATCTTTTGGTTGGAAATTGAATTTTCACTGATTCCTGTGTTTGGTTTGACCGAATCACTTTATTTTTGATAGATTATTATATACACCCCTGACATTTAATTACCATAGATATAGAAAATCATAAAGGTATCGGTATATCCAGCTTCATTAACAGAATTGTAATTAAGGATTGAAATATTATTATAATATCTATGCTACCTGTAATATTTCATTAAGTAACAATTGCAAATAATTTGAAAAAGAAATATTCTTCGCAACCAGTCAGGGCTTTGCTTTTTAAACAAAATTCTAAGTAATAAATAATTTTTTTTTACGTAAAGGAAGTCTGAAATTGAAGCTACGAACCCATACATCTAAAATTGATGTTGATTTATAAAAGCAGCGCACAGCACTCGACATCCAGCGATTTATCAACCCTTTATCCTCGTTTGTGCGAACAGATCGGTGTGTGGAAATCATGGGAGAAGGAGGGTCTGGACATCAAGGATATCGTCTGGCCTGGAAACACCCACACGCCTCCTCAAGGAGTACCGGAGAAGTTTTATTTGAAAATAACCTTCCTGGAGGAGCCGCCGTACATCAATCTCGCACCCCCGGACCCTGTGAGCGGAAAATGTCTGATGGATCGGGGAGTTCACTGTCGAGTGGCCAAGGAGTCCGACATGGTCGAGTAAGTCGAATATATTCTACAGCCTTTTCTCTCTTGAATCTTTGCCGCTCAATGGAGCCCAAGGGTCTTTCATAAGCTGTGAGCACAGTTTCAAAAAACTGATTTATTTTCTTCGCCTAGATCTTCCCCTTTGACTAACTTCAAAGAGAAACCTCTCTAATGTCAGGCAAATTTCTCAACTTTCATTTATTTAAATTCAAAGATAAAATGTATAAGATTCTGGAACATTTTAGAAAATTTATCAACCTTCGAGAATCTCTTTTTTTGGGGTTGCAATTTCAATTTAATTTAGTTTTAGAACAAGTGTAGATTTTGTACCCCCAAAAAATTTTAATGATTATTTATTCAATCTGGTCAGGCATCAATTTAATGTTCAAGCATTTTGTGGAATGGTTTTCGGATGGTACGTGAGTTCTAGTTCATTGCTATGCAGCACGGAGTAGGAATTAGTTAAATTATAATATAGAGAGGTCCCTTACCAGGGAATAAACAGCAATTTATGGAGCGTTGAAAGCGACTTTCCCAAATAGTAGCTACTTAGTTTGGAAAATGTTTCCCGATGGACTCGTTTCCAACGCATTTCATGTCATTATTCGTTGCATGCTCCTTTTCTCCCTTGCAATCTGCCCTCTATGGACTGTTTCCGTCCCTTAATTTTGCATCAGGTCCTGACAGATTTGAATTATGATTTTATTTAGAATCTCGTGAGTATTTTTATGCAGTCACGAGACTCGTTAAAATGCCTTCAGAAATTTTTATTTAAATCAAATGTTGAATGAAAATTCTATGATCAAGAAATCATTGATTTTACGAAAGGGTGGTTTCAAAATGAGACCTAGCAATTATGCATTCCTTTTAATTGCATTTACTAATTATATAACGCTTACACTAATTGCACTTCAAGAATTTTCTTTATTTGATTCCATTTCGTAAATGTGATCATTTTTTAACATTTCAATTATTGGTTTAGCCTGAGAGGTTCTGAAAGCTTTCATGAGATTACTTGTCTTTTCTGCTGTGCAAAGTGCAGTTGACATTAATTTGAACAGAATATATAACACATCACAAAAGAAGAGAAAAAGTAATGACAGATTGATGTTGAAAAGAATTATTTCAAGGAAATTGTTCCTTTCAAGTTTGGTAGTTTTGAACTCTGCAACTTCGAACTTCTCATCCTTGAACGCTGCAACTTTTCAACTTCAGAACCAATTGAATTCTACTTCTGAATTTAACGAATTCGATGGCTTATGTAATTAACAAATAAACATTATCGAAATAATTAAAATGAATTCTTAATGAATAAAAAATAAGAAAATTGAAATAGCTTGAAATTATAAAAGTTTGTTAATATTTTCGAATGTTTTTAAACAAGATGATAGAGGAACGTGAATTTATCTTACTGAAAAAACAGACGGTTCAATTACAAACCGGAAGAGGAAATTCGTGGAGATTACCTACAGCCGGGGTGTAATTAAAAATTCCGGTTGTCAGGCGAGCTTGTCCTATGCTCTTGGAGAAGAAAATGCTTTCGTTGTGTCGAGCATAAAAATGAGAAAAATCTTTATTCCACAGATTCGTTCAAACGTTTGCTGCAAGCTTAGCGATTAAATCGCGTAATTGAAAAGGCCAGAATAGAAGCAATCAGAAAGCTTGAAAATTGCTGAGCCCTGGTTATGACTGCCCTTGTTACCTTGTATTTGCTCAGAACCAACAAATCGTTGACCAAAAACTAATGTCAATTTAAAGTTCCTCTAATCAGATGAATATTTTCAATAGATCAATTAATCCATTTAAGTTTGGACTAAACTTTGGAACTCGATTTCAAAAATCTACATTTCTCTCAGATAAATTACTCCATTATTAATGCGAAAACTCTATTATTAGTTTGAATTAAAATTTCATTTCAATGAACCAAATGCATTTACTGAGTTTATGAAATTTTTAAATTTTCAAAAAAGAAACTTTTATACTTTTTCTGTGACATTTGTTACACTTCTGCGTTTTTCTATCAAAGGGCTCCCTTCTCCCCTATAATTTAAATAAATAGATATTGCCTAGTTCAAAGGGTAGATTTCGAGAAACAGGATAAGTTGAGAGCAGGGAATAGTATTTCAAAGAAAACAGCCGTATCGTAAACTTCAAGTTTTATTCGATCATTGCAATACGTAACCATTGTCGTAAAACAAAAATCGATTCTATTTCACTTTTCCTCATTTTCTTCAAGGGAAAAGCGTTTCAGCTTCGTACAGGGTGTGCATAGAGGGAGAAAAATAGCGATACGAAGAAGCAGATGTGAGACACAGATAAAGTTAATGGACGAACAGTGAGTCTTCTAGTTGTCAGAGACGTGGAGAACTTTAATTCGATACCACTCGTCTTGAAAATGGGTTTCTTGATCGATCGCTGTGGAAAGTACTCTGGGAAAGATAAATCGAGAAAAGCATATATATTTACAAAGATGCTGTAGAACAAGTTGATTTTTTAAATATAATAAACGTTCGATATCCGGAAATTTTCTAAATACAACACTTTTTATTGAAATCGAATTTCGAAGGTTTCACGGCCGGAAACATTTTTCACCTGACATTTTTCCGTGCGATAGCTGCAAAGAGCGACCACTTCAAAAGAACCACGTTGCTCAAGCGGACATTAAATTTCCGGTAAACGTGATCGCTTGAACGCCTCGTTTCACCGTGGCATATTAACGTCCTGGGCTAACGCACCCTCGAGGACTCCGATTTCCTTGAATATTACACGATTTCACTCGATGGTTAACCCCTTTGGTTACGATCTTGGATCATGATAGTGGATGACATTAGTCGCATTGTTGGCATTATGATATTAACCCAATAACCATTTAAAGGAGAATCAAAAACATGTCTATAATTTAAATTATTCTTATTTTTATAATCTTGATATTTTTGTTCTCTGTTATGTACATTGGATGATGGATCGTTTTAATGTTATAATACTTTAAACACCGAACGTTCTACTTTATAACTTTCAAATCTACGCGTGCATGCATGATTAATGGCAGGTTAAATTAATTGTACAAGGTTTAGCGTTTTAGATAACGCGGTCATATATTATGTAAAATAGGAAAGCTTGCTACCAAAGGAATGAGATAAGGCATGCTTTAGAGGAAGTTCCACTTAAAATTCTGAATACGTAATTGAATAAAACTTAAGCAAGTAATCGGGGAAGCGATATCCTTCAAGTTAATAACCTGAAAATTTTTAAGTATCTTTCATAATGAGGGGTCATGTTCAACCTATTAAGGGAACGTGGATTGAATATTTATAAAACACTTGTTACTCTCTTTTTCATTAAATACTCAATTTATAAATATTAGAATTTTTAACTAGTACTTAATAAAAATGGAAATATGGAAAATAAGGGTTTAAAAAATCAGATTTTCAACCCTATTCAATTTAAAAATAAATACTGTGAGTATTTACTTAAACTTAATAATATTTATTTAAGGTAAAATTTTGCTAATATGTAACTTTAATTATTAATGACTTAATTATTCATTTATATGCAAACAGTGCAGATCACTGTTTACACAAACTCATCCTGGAGTAATGCCAAGGGGGTTGAAGGGGTTAAGCTTTACTTTTGTCAGTTAAAAGGTTAGCCTGCTTCAAAGTACCTCGTAAGGGTCAGAATGGACAGCAGCTATGTAGAGCAAGTGACCAAAGTATTTTACGATGACGGCCATAAAAAGTCTCGGTCTCAGCTGCCAGGTATTGAAGTTTCGTCTACGAAATTCTTTTCCCTATTTTGTCGTTGTTGCTTTATGCAATTTACGTTGATGCTATCTTGCAGCTTCAACGAAAAATGTTGAAAAAAAGGGCAAGTAAGTCAACATCTTCGTGAAATTTAGGGCAAGACATCGCTTTGAGTTAAGAACTTTCCTATCTTCATCAAACAGCTCTTTCAATGCGATTTTCTTGAAATTTTACCATCGTAAAGAACGTTTAAAGTGCTTAAGGAAAACAGTGAAGTTTTCCTAGTAGAAAATTGCATTTGAATTAATTCCTCTCCTCTTCAGGCAAATTATAAAATAAATTATAAAGTTTATATTCTTTATGAAGTTTCAGCTTGTGGTTGAAGCTCCTCTCAAATATATATAATATTTAGTATTTACAATCTTAATTAGTTAAGAAAATTATTAATCTTGCAAGATTTTTTCTTGCATTTTACACCTTAAGTTAAAATGGTAAATTTTTCAGTTAAGAATTTATGGAGTTCAAAATTTATTTTGCAAATGAAAAATATCAATTTTTAAATTTACAACCCCTTTACTAGATATAGACAATGTCTAACTTCATAATTTTTATCTTGTAAATCTGTTGCATGAAAAATTTATCATTGCCATTAAATATGAAATTCAAAATGAAGCAACTTCTCTCAGGAACGTTTTTTTACGATTATGCAGCTGAACGATATTGGACTGCATTTTATGATAAAGTAAAAATTGGACACCCCATACGGTAAATGTATTTTCGATACTCCCTCAACCGAGAAACCTGTTTCTCAATATTCCATTTCCATTTTACACGCGCAGGGTGTCCTTTACGGTATCCTCGGGGCTTTTCCTGCCTCCACATTCCGCGTCATCGACCACGGCTCAGCTTCGTGGATATACGACCGCCAGGTTACTTCCTTTTCCGGTTTCTGCGTCCGTTCTCCCGTTCTTTCATGCAACGCTACTCGTCTACAGATCGCTTTTCATTTTATGCCGAGTCATATCGAACGACTGGGGAATTGTACGACCCCTTCGATTGATCTGATTCCCCGTACAATAGTGAAACTATTGAAATTGTCGCGTTTGGGGTCGCGTTCCGTGGAAAATTCTTAAAAGAATACGGATTTAAATGATATTTGAAACAAGAGGATTTTTCTTAGATTTTTCTAAATTATTTTCACTTGGAATCTATACAGGTGTAGGTTGAAACGTCATTTTTTCTAAACAATTGATACAGAAAAAATTATTGTATTTCAAAGATTTGAAGTGTATTATAATATTCGAGTTAATTAATTAATTATTTTACAATCAGTGAATGGCAGCTCTAATAGGGTTTAATCAATCTAAATGATTTTGAATAAAATTTTGCATAAATAGTAGATTTATTTCTATGGAAACTTAAGTTGCAATTTTATTTTTCATACAAATAATGATTTATAGTAGTTCATTTTATTCATATTTCTTAGTCACTTCTATTAATAAATATAGGTCCCATTAAGGTATCAATTTAATGAGAAAGTAAATATTCCATGACAAAGAGGTTTTATGTACCGTAATGTCTGTCCAGGATTTTAATTAAAAGTTAATAAGCAGTTGTTTCCTTTTGTTAATACTCTCTTTGTTCTGTTACCTTGTTCTTGTTACATACTCTCTTTTACAAGCTGGTTATTTACTGGTTAGGGATTTTAAAATGATAAAATGTCTGATCTTTCGCTTCTGTAAAATATACGACAGTTACGAATTATTCTTCTTTATCCCAGCTCAACCCTTCTACTATTTACCTCATTTTAATCCTCTGCATAAATTTTTTACACTTCATGAAAGCCTTTTGATCTGCACAGATAGCGAAGGGAAAACTTAGTTTGCAAACAGTATACAACGGGCGTGTAAACGTGTAAGCTTTTTTTTAAAATATAGAATAAAACAGAACAGATAAAAATAAAAAAATAAAAAAAAAGTACAGGATGAAACCGTGTTGTTGCAGAAAGTACATGAATGCAGCAGAAATATAAAAAAATAGGTCAGAGTTAACGAAAAACTAATAAACAAATCTTTTGATTTTAAATCTTTGAACAGAATTAATTGTAACACATCGAGTGATTGAAATTAGGCAATCAAATTTTTTAGTGAAAAATTTTCGTATATCAAATCTATTTAATATTCTAACATAATAAGAATATCACTTTAAGATTATCAAGGCTGTTCACGTTTCGAGTATAAATCCGAATCTCTCCTTATTCTTCAACTACGTGAGACTCGCGACGGATGCGTTGAAAAGTGGTTACTCTTCAGGATGCATATAAAATGAAGATCCTCCAGTCTCATCTGTTTTTCTTTTTTACTTTTGTGCTATACACGCTTCGTTTCTCGAGAAAAACTCCCTGCGATGAATCTTACTCTCTTGCATTCATATTTCATTAACTGACCTACTTGATTAACAATTAGATTCTTACGTCAGACTTGTTACGTCTGAGAATGCTTTTTCAATCCAACCTACGGTCTTAAAATTTCAATAAAAACGAAGGAAATAAAGCAATCAGCATAAAAGCATGGATGCAGAAATATTGAAACACCAGGAGAAGAAGATACAATGGGTCGAAGTCCTTTCGGTGATCGATTTCACGAGCTTCCGCATACGAATTTCCGCTTGCTACCATTTTACATGCAAACTCGTAGACTGTTCCTATCCGCAGAATTGTCAAACCAGCGAGTTGGCTTACCACTTAAATACCGTGACCTGTTTCCTTCGGCTCTAAATCCCAATTCCCATCGCGGTTCACGGACCACGATACTTCCAATCGCTTTTCAGTTAACGAATACAGCCGGTGTAAAACGCGAAAGAGTTTCGCAGATGAGTCTTTATAACGTTCCACGTGCCGGGAAATTGTTGTTAGTCAATTTTACGGTCGTTGTTTATGGTTACCTCCGAAAGAATATAAACGCGACTGTTTAAACTCTTGATGGTTAACGCGCGTGCTTTACGGCGCGGCACGTTTACGAGCTTATTTGTGTTCCAACGTTTCCCTTCCTACTTCAGATCCCTTTCCAGCACTGTTTTATTCAACTTTCCCTGAAGGGTTGCGCGTAAACGTTAACCCGGAACGTAGCGTTCGTCGAAAGGGAAGAATAAGGGTGCTTTTACGTGGATTGGGTATACCAGCTGTTGAATTTCATTTCTCGGAGAATTTAATTGCGCACCGATTAAACTTACAGCACAGACATCAATTCTGAGGTAAATGTTTCGGACTGGTCAGTGAGAAACATATTTGACCGTCGCGCAAACACGGACTTAGAAGGCCCGATCGAACGGAGACACGTTTTAGAGGGTTTTCGTAGTTTCCACGACATCTGTCAAAGTTCCTCGAATTTCTAGCGAGTTTCGTCGAACTTTGACGATGTCAATCCGGAATGTCAAGCCACGTTCTAACATGGCTAACCGGATTTTGCGTGAATCGAGTTTGGTCCTGTACTCCGAGGTCCCTAACCGAGTTCTAGCAAGTTTCAAGCGATAGCGGCCTTCGAACGTTTTATCTAGGTTGATCAGGAAATTTTACCAATTTCCTGGTCACCTCGTGCTTTCCTTTAAACAATTAAGCGATCAAAATTTCCTATATTATTTCTAAACTTTCCTTGGGCCAAGCTTTTTTTACAGAATTGAAACGTAAATATTTGAAGAGAAAAATGGTAATGAATTACATTCTATGAGTAGAATTCCTGGAAAACAGGTGTTATTACAGAATCCTCTCTGTAGTTTCAATTTTTCAGTATAATTCGTTTGATTCACAGCTCTCGGACAGAGCGATGCGGAGGGACAGCAGTAAAAAAGGCTTAGAGAGCCAAACAGTTCTCTGGGAATAAAGCGTAGAATAGTGATGGAATCTCTTTGTTCTTCGAGTGAGGACGATATGGCAGAGTGCCAATAGAGAAGAAAGATAATAATTGCTCTTAGCGTTTCGCGATAAAAATCGAAAGGTATCTCGTTCGCGTAGAATAAGTGATCGAAGATGCACATCTGGAAGAAAAGGTTCTCTGATCAACAAGAAATAATTTTTTTTTTTTTAAATCCCTTCAATTAAATATCGACCTCGCCGAGATGTAAAAATATAACGTCTAGAAATGAAACATTGAAAAGCATTCAAATTAATCGGTAACCGAAGCTTAACTACCCGAATGTTACCACTGAAATAACACAGAACCATTACTTGAATTCTGAATTCAGGAGGTTTACATACACTTCTAACTGTATATTCAGAGGGTAGTTATTGGGATGTCAGAGGTCCTTGTCAGTGGCTAAATTCGAGCATAATAGTCCCGGAGGCGGGCGTTGCTTCTTCGTTTGTCTAACGCTCGCGTCATTAAACCCCATTTCCCCGCAAATTTATTCGACAATTACGCTCGGTGTGTTGGATTAATTAGGATACATTCCCGCTGGACGGACATCTTGCAATCAACGGGCATCGTTTCGCGATCAATGATACCTGTCACCTGTAAATTCCTGTCAGGATTAATATTGTTGTTATTAGTATGCGTCAGTGATGTTGATTCTCGCAGGATACGAATTACTTCCGCCAGTTCGCCTGCCGCTGTCTCCTTGTCAAACGCACGAGGAATAACGTGACGCTAATAATACATAGAATTTCCCATAACGCGATCAAAATTTGCTGTAAGCTAAAGTCATTAATTTCGTGAAACGAAAAATATGGAAAAGAAATGATTTTTAGAATTTATGAATAGGCAAAGATGATCGAAGATCTCGATAGGGAGTTGAAATGTTGCAAAATTAAAAAGAAGGATACTATTTAATTAATTTATCAAAATTAACCACCCTATGGATAATATAAAAATATTTGAATTAGCGTCGATCCCTTGGGAGCAATTTGTAAGATAAGCTATCCGAATCTCTAATCACGAGAACAAGATAGTTCCCAGCTATCGTACACGTAATTTCTCGAGAAGAATTTCGCTCGGGGGATGATCGAGAAACGACCCTTTCCTCCCCTCAAGTGTCGAAGCGATGTAATAAAACGTTCTCTGGAGAAAACGAACCACGATGTTACCCAGTGGTTGTCGTTTTTCAGGGTGGACATCCAATCGGCGCAGAAGAACGAGAGCTTTTATCAATGCTGCAGTGGTTTCTGCATCGACCTTCTTCAAAAGTTCTCCGAAGAGATAGGCTTCACTTACGAGCTCGTCAGGGTGGAAGATGGCAAATGGGGCACGCTTGAAGTAAGCTCGAACAAATTTCCTTTTATTCGAATCTAGATAGATTTCTTCCTGTCCATAGTTTTCTTATTTTAAGTACTTCTGTAAATGGTGCTTTCGAAGGTTCTACAATCTACGATCACCCCTTACGACACCTTATGGTGTAGTTACACGATACAGATTGAAGCGATCAAACGAAACATAAAATTTAATGGCACGTTCGTTTGCCCTTAGAACGGTAAGTGGAACGGGCTGATTGCGGACCTCGTGAACCGGAAGACGGACATGGTGATGACGTCCCTGATGATTAATTCGGAACGGGAAGCCGTCGTTGACTTTACAGTGCCGTACATGGAAACTGGAATTGCTATAGTGGTGGCAAAGAGGACTGGTATAATATCTCCTACTGCCTTTCTTGGTAAGCACTTAAATATTAATTTTGCTTCGTATCGAAACTTTCAGCTTTGATTAATTTTAATCGCAATTATTACCGTAATTATAAGAATTATTGTAATTTTGATTTTAAGGTGAAATGGAAACCATGTATTTTTAACAATGCTTTCGACAATTTAATTCTTCCTTATTCAGAAGCAGGTTGAAAGTATTATTATTCTACTTGAAAATGGGAGTAGAACAATTCAGTGATTATTTTCAGAACCATTTGACACCGCATCTTGGATGTTGGTTGGCATTGTGGCTATCCACGCAGCCACAATCATGATATTGCTGTTCGAGTGGTTGTCGCCTTCCGGTTTCAACATGAAGGTAAACCCTTCAGGCGCTGCTCAGATACTGGTACTATTAATTTCGCTTCTTATTAGAGCTGTGTATACTTTCTCACCCTCACAGCACAAATTTCCCCATAAAATATTATTACTCACCGAACGATGTCGTTATTTTCAGTGACACTGCACCCTGTGATACTGAAATTGAAAAGAAAAGAGATTAATTATGAGATAATTAATTTTGCACCCTGATTATTTTTTAATTTTAAATAGAAACTGTGTGCATGATTTATTTATACAATATTTTGTTGCACAGATATGCATGCTTCCAGGAACAATTTTCTTTTTTCTTCAACGTAGAATCAAAGTCCCTTAAATTCTATTAAAGTTGCTGTTAATTACTGTTATTTGAAAATACTGTTAAGATTCACACAGTTTGCTCTGTGAATGAACCGTGTAATTAGGAATCTCACCGGAGTAATATACACTTTATTAAATTTATATTTCATCTAAACTTCAGTACCCCTCCTTGTCGGTGAAATTTTAATAAAACAAGAAGTATCCTTCAAGTTCCACCATTTTTCTTCTAGATTTTCTTTTCTCATCCCTTTGAGCTCGTTCAACACCGTATAGATGTATCTTCGCATGTATCCTATCCCTGTTAGAGAAGGAAACGTTTTATTATTATTGCATTATTATCGCAACGCTGTCCACGAGCACGATCATAAATGGATGAAAACGAGGCTGGCTTTTTCGTTGGTTACAGAAAAATCCATCGCCCAACCATCGATTCTCTTTCTGTCGTACTTATTGGTTGGTCTGGGCAGTATTATTTCAGGCAGCCGTCCATATCGATTCTCCCAGGGGATTCACAGCCAGGTTGGTAAAACAATTTCTATTCGAATTAAAATCTTTGCCGTGAATTATATTTGCAGTGACGCGTTTACAGAACAGGGAGAAAGAGTCTGATTAACGTGTTTTTTCTTCGTTCAAGTGCGATGAAAGGAGGATCAAAGGGTTATTGAATACTCACCAGGCGCGTTTATCTCTGGGAAATCCGTTTGCCTACATTTTCATTCTTTATCAAGCGTTTCTGTCTTCTTTGCCATTTTATACTCGTCGCGAAACGTTCTTCGATGATAATTTCCTTGTATGACTTCCAAAGTGTTACATTTAGAGCCTGAAAAGGATCTCCTTCTATTAAACCTTTAATGATAGAATCAGGTAATTTGTGATATACATGAGGAACTATCAAAATTTGATATATAATCAAATAATAGACGTTTCTAAAATAAGTCTAACATTTAGAAAATGAAAATTAAGTAAAGTTTCAAACGAAATTTGAATTGTTAGCTATTAAAATTTGAGAAGATGGTACTTAACTTTTCTAACACGTTAACTGCCAAGCAAACACCATTGAAAATTCCATTAGATAATATTTTTATTTTTTAAAAGTCTTATTAAATATTTTTAGAATATTTCAGTATTTCTATGATCCATAGTTTCAAGTATCAAATAAAAATATTTCTAATGGTTTTCTTTGATTATTCAAATGTGTTAAAAGTTGCAGATTGGGAACTTCCCAGTAAAGATTGATATTTCGCAGAAATTCAAGATTCAAATGTCTGAGTTTAGAGCTTAATTTCCAGAAGCATCCCTTGACATAAATTCACCCATGTTTAATTCAGATTCATGACGAACGTGTGGGCGTTGTTCGCCGTGGTGTTCCTCGCCATTTACACTGCCAACCTGGCCGCCTTCATGATCACGAGGGAGGAGTTCCACGAGTTCACAGGGGTGGACGATCACCGTTTGGCGAAGCCGTGGTCCCATAAACCCATGTTCAAATTTGGTACCATACCCTGGAGTCACACGGACAGCACACTCGCCAAGTACTTTAAAGAGATGCACGCGTACATGAAGAAGTTCAACAAGAGCAGCGTCGCCGAAGGGATCGAGGCGGTTATCAGTGGGTAAGCAGAGAAACACCGACGATGTCAGTTACAGAAATTTCTCAGCTATTCTGCAGTAATTTGAATATCTCGATGCTTAATGCATTAACAGGCGACGATACGTACACGGTTCGTTATCGAAGTTTCTGAACAGAACTGTTGGACCTCTCGTTAATCTACCACCTAGTTTCCTCTGTTTTCGTTACGATTATTGCTAGATAGCAATAAGATAATTGCACTCTCTGCTTAATTAGTGTTTGCTATTTAGTTTGAGATAATGGTAATTTCTTGTGAACGATGAAGACAATGGCAGTCTTCCAAGATCAATATCATCAGTAGGGTACATTCTACTTGCAAGGAAAATTCGACAGCTTGAAAATATTATTATTATTATTATTATTATTATTAGATGCATACATATACAGGACCGGGTTAAGATTTCTGGTGCCCTGAGGTTTTCAAATTTTGGAAGACCCTTATCAAAAATTGAAATTAAAGGACACGGCAACAATGAAAAAATGTTTTATTCAATATTTTTTTACATAATACATGAAAAGCCTAGAAAAAGGCCCCTTCCCTTGATTCATGTAGTATCTTTTTATTTTCATACATAAAAATAGTATAATCACGTATGTTCCAATGAAATAAGTGATATTGATTCATCGATTGAAAAGGTTATTGAAATAACCATTCATGAAACAACGTTTGAAATATTAGAAAATATGATTGAAACGGAGTGTAACTTTTATCAGAAAAGCTTTTTGAAAATTCTTTTATCTCTACATTCGTTCAATTAAAAATACAAATTTATAACAAATATAATAGGAAAATATATATTATTCATTTTTTCATACTCGAATCTAAGAAACATCTTTGCAAAACTTCTCAAAGGAACGTCAAACAAACCAATACAAGACCAGAAACTTGTATTCTCTCAGAAGAAACTAGAACAGAAGAGAGTTCGAAAAGTTGGAATGAACGATTCGTTCGATTGAACGATTCCTCTTGAACTTTCTTCGTCTTCATCTCAATTTTCTCAGCAGCGTCGTTTCCTCTGTAACAGAGAAATGGACGCCTTTATCTACGATGGAACGGTTTTGGATTATTTGGTTGCGCAGGACGAGGACTGTCGATTACTGACCGTAGGATCCTGGTACGCTATGACTGGATATGGTTTGGCATTCTCCAGGAATTCCAAATATTTGCAGATGTTCAACAAACGTCTGTTGGACTACAGAGATAACGGTACATTTATATCTATCATTTTACTAAAATTAAATAAAGAATTTTAAATGAAGAAAATTCTCGTAGAATAAGTGATCAAAAATGCACAGCTAGAAGAAAAGGATTTTCTACGAATAAGAAATAATATTTCTTTAAATATTAACTTCCCGTACTCTTTATATTCAAGAAATTGATTTATCAGGAAAATATTTGTCAAAATAAAAAGTTAAATTTTCTCAGTGTTAAGTGTCGTTGCAATTTTATTCACAGTGGTATAATATTTTTTTTTTTCTTTTTATTAAAAGGAGAATATTAAAATTCCAGGGGATCTTGAACGTCTCAGGAGGTACTGGATGACGGGTACCTGCAAGCCGGGCAAAGAGGTGCAAAAGAGCAGCGACCCCTTGGCACTGGAACAGTTTTTATCCGCGTTTCTCTTATTGATGATGGGTATCCTTCTGGCCGCGGCTTTTCTACTTCTCGAGCATCTGTATTTCAAATATGTCAGGCAGCATTTGGCGCGAAGCGATGGTGGCGGATGTTGCGCACTTTTCAGCTTGGTAAGTTTGCTTCCAGCCTGCATAATCCATCTTATCCGAAGAATATTGATCATCGGAAAAGCCAAACGCTCGTATGTTGAAATTTTTATGGCTGACGTTTACATATCGCCTGATATGAACGGTATTTTTCAACAGAAAATACCTGCACTTGTAACACCGCTATATCGTTTATTATTTTTTCAAATTTAATAGTGCCTAATTAAAAAGAATTTAATTACAAGATCCATGATTATGAACTTTTTTCGAGTTGAAATTAAATAATTTTCAATGGATTGAATACTCTTTTTAAAGAGTATGGGAAAATCGCTGACATTCCGTGGGGCAGTTTACGAGGCACAAGATATTCTAAGGTACCACAGATGCAGGGACCCCATCTGTGACACCCATTTATGGAAGGTGAAGCACGAGTTAGACATGGCGAGGATCAGGATAAGGCAACTGGAAAAGGATCTCGAGGCTCATGGGATAAAACCTAGCCACGCCAAGTAAGTAAAAATTTAATTCAAATCATTGATTCTCCATAACCGAGAGTATTATATTCGACACATTTGAGACTCCCGAACTTATATTCGAGAGGATCTCAAAGAAAAATTTTCAAATTTATTCAGAACATGGCTAATAAAATTCGTATTATAATATTGAATCTTCGAGATCCTTTCGATCATCGAAAACAACGAAAGAAAACTTGAACAGTTAAATATTCGAATGATTTTTTAAAAAGAACTACTACATATAACATTTACAAACGAAGGACGTGCCATCCTTGTTTCCAGCCAATATATTCCTTTATACTTCTTTCGCTTTTCTTCGAGTATCGTTCGCTTCCGAAAGAAAATATCTCGCAGCTTGTATCCTCGTCAAATTCCTTGTTCCTTTCCGAACGATAAAATTTTCTCCAATCACGGAGACACTTAACGAAAGCGGAAATGGACCCGTAAAGAGAGACTTACGCATGTCACTGCATAGTTATTTCACCTTGTCCTTCGTTCGATTTTTCAAGGATTTAAACTCGATTTCGCGGAGAATTTTCTTCGTTGGACAATTAACTGGTCGATTAATTAAAGCCACGGTTCCCCGTAATTTCACGATAGAACGTGCGAATCGAGCTTAAATCCTGACCTACTTTTCTGACGTCACTTGGAGCCTGGCTCGCACAGCATGCACACCTATCTACAGATACACACTGCCGCTGGAAAGTCTTGGGACACGGTACATTTCACGCGAAGTACTGGAAAATTGGGGAATATCCTTCAGGGTTATAAAGAAAAGTATTTTGTTGTTTGCCATTTTTTTAACAGGTATCATATTTCTTTTATTTTTCTAGAAGACATTTTTGATTTATTGTATGATATATTACTTTAAACTTTTTTGTAGGTGATTATCCCTTTACCAAAATTGCAACTCAATGCAATTTTACATAATTACAATTTTCGTTAGAAAACTAGAGAAAACAATGGAAAACTTTGAATGATTATTCTGATATATTTTATTTTGGCACCTCTGTTAATCATGCTTTACTAATTAAGAATCTTTTTAATTATTAAGAATCTTTTCAAAAGTGCCATTTTTTTCTTTTTAAAAAACTGATGGAAAGGCTATTTAAAATTAGTATTTTTTATAATGAAACTGTGTTCATGGATGTGTTTCACGTTTTTAACAATTATTTCTCTAATTCATTATTCACAATTTTTCCACAAAATTATAATTGCATTGTAGTTGCTCTAAACAAGTTTAACACACTTTCCCCACGTATATGAAGAGTTATTATTCTGCACAAAAGATCCTCTCATTGTCGTGCTTTTAATGACTATCATGAATGCTGTTTGCAGTAAAATTTCAGAATTTTGTTAAACACAACAGTGTCCCAAGAATTTTGAAGCGGTAGTGTACATACCTGTGTATACATATACGTTTGTATACACAGTTGCGAAATGTATACATTAATATCGTGATAACGGCACGAACGTATCGTTCATTTCTGGTTATATTCTTATCTATTTCCGTCGTTCTTTATGCACACTGGCGATCGTGAGTTCGAGACTATCCTGTGTGATGAGTTGAAGTTGTTAAACAAGCATCATAGATTTTATAGAATTTTCTTTATTTTGTAGCTTTTTATTATGTTAGTTCATTAGATGAATTTTAATTAATTATTGTTTAATATATTGGCTTTTATTATTAATTTGAAAAATTTGAAACTGTAGTAATATTTATTCTTATTTCTTCGTTACGTTTGATGAATGTAGATGTAGGTCAATAGTAATTAGTAATTAGAATTATTTTAGATTTCTTTAATAGAAATCATTACCAGCGCTGAAATTCTACCTTGAAATTAATTAAAATTAAATTGCATAGCATAGAAAAATTTTCAGTTCGTTCTACTTGAAGGAGACTAATTAAGATTCACAAAAATTCAATATTGAAATCCTTCAATTCGTAAAAGCATCGTTCGAAATCTGCGAAGTAATCAGATTTTTCGTTCTCCGATTTTATCCGAGAATCTTTACTCGAATACCTTGAAATTCAAGAATATTTACCAGGTAGAAAAATTGACACGACCAAGGTAGATGGTCTCAAAGCCACGATCGATAGTGTATTATCGCTGCATCACGTACGAGACTGTTTCACAGTGAATTGGCTTCGAATTTTCGTTTATATTAAGAAGTTACGCCGTGGAATTGAAAGAGGGAAAGAAACGTAACGTGCAGAAAAGGAAAAATATACGCTGCTGGTAGAAAAGTAGAACTTCTCAACGACACGAAATCTCGGCGAACTTACGCTGTTCACGGCTGAGAAAGTTTCTTTTAAAAACTTTTAGCCTGGAATAAACCCGAGGCCGTTTGTGGAGAATACATTGTTTGGACCAATCACGAGCGAAGTTTAATCGAACTTCCCGGAAATAGGGGTTCAAATTTCGTGATATTTGAGAAAAAATAAAGTTTTGATGATTTTTAATGAACTCTGATTTTTATTGTTTAACATTTCAACTGCATTGAATTTACATTAATACTTATGAAAAGTAACAAAATTTAATTTTTCGTTGTAATTAAACAATTTCATTTTTGAAATAATTAAAAAGTTAATGACATTAATTCAAAATATTAATTAAATTTCGATGGTACTTGGAATTTTTATTTAGAAAATACCACTTTTAATTTCTTATTTTTTTCTCGTCCTTAAATATCATTACTTTCTAAACACTATTATAAATCTATTTCTATGAAAAAAAACTCGTTTCGTAAAAGGTCTCATATTTTCATTCAGTGTAACTCGTGTCCTTAATTCACAACTTTTCAAATATCTTTTCGCCGTTGAGAAAGGTTCTCGGGAGTATTTTATATCCTCCTGGAATATGAAACAAGTAAAATCAAAGTTAAGGTAGAAGGTGTGTAATAAGAAAAACGAGGTCTCGTGTCGAGAGGTATTGTCGGAAAAAAAGATGAGATTGTTTGATGACGGAACGATGGTGGAAGATAAGCCAGGCACATATCCACGTCGGCTTTTTTAAAGGAGGAAAACCGGAAGTCTCGGCTGGTGGCGAGGATGCTTTCAAAGCTCGGACCGCCATTCACAACCGGAGTCATTGGCGGTGGAAGCTCCGCATCCGCTACCGCCATACTTCGATTCGTAAGTCCGCAACACCCACCACACGTAAGAATCCTCAGCGACGTATGAACCATAATAAAATACCTCGTTCAATCAATTTTTTAACATTTTTAACCGAACAATTATTAACATTAACTGATAACAAGATATTGCATATCAAATGATAAATTTTGAAACATAGTTAATCTGACATAATTTGATGACATAAAAGTTTCATAAAATACCACTTATGATATATCAATTTAAAGCTTAGAATTTAATGAAAATATTTATATAAATTCTTCGTTAATATTCTTGATAATAAATGAATGATATTCACATTTATCGACGACCGATTTTGAGATACATAAAGTCTGATACAATTTTATGACAGAAAATGAAACTGGTATATTTTCAAATTACTGAAATAAATTTTGGAAAAGTCATTTTCCCTAGGGAAGCCCATTTTGATCGATCCTGTACAACGCCCACGAAAATGTGAAAAATATGTCCCTTGCTCAGGAAGACCGTGCCATAAATTAAGTTCCATGGTCCAGACGGTGCGATTGGAGAACTTTGCTCGAGAAAATCTGCTGACAAATCCTGGTCACATTAAGTCTTATAAGAAGAGAATATATAAACCAAAATGAATCCCAACGCCTCAGAAATAGTAGCGTCTTGTTGAGATCCTTATTTCCTGTTAGAGTAAATTATATTTTTGAAATTCATGTTTGAGGACTTGAATTTCATGTATTTTCACGTTTCGCCGATTTTACAATCGTACTGTATCGTATCCACGAAGCAGATGTTACGCTTGTACCATATGTTACGCAACCCTTTCGTCTCGGTTCATTTTAAATGGCAAACTCTGCCCAGAAGTGACACCAGCTGGTGAATAAACAAGCGTGAATTTTTCGGGATATTTGGCAGCTGAAATCAGTTCCGTTGCCAAGTCTTCGTGACCCAGTAAGTACATTCCGCGAATGAAATCGTATTAGACTGGTTCGAAGGAAAAACTCGCTTAGTCAACTATCGCAATTTCTTCAGGTGTGCCTAAGAAATTTTTATCACACCGATAGTCATATTTTTAAAATTTATTTCGGTAATTTAAAGATATATTGAATTAGGATAATTTATATTCGACGTGGTCATTTTCTCCTGTAGGTATTGGAAGAAAGGTTCCTACGTCGCTTTGATGACTGTCTTGGGGTGCACGCAAAAATCGACGAGTCAGTACTTTGTTATCGGTCGTTTCACGAAAGTGTTATTGTTATGAACGTAGAAATGTCGATAAATACGTGCACTGCTGACAGAGAGGGTATGGTCGTCCTCGTGAGGCTGATTAGGGTCAGTTTTGTTCGATTCTGAGCAGAGAGAATTATTATCCAAGTATCCAAAAATTATTTCCTTAAATCATAGAATACTTATTCATTTTAAATCTATTTCTGACAGATTACTATAAACTTATAATTTCAATTTTTCTGTTCATTAGACCTGTTCATTTAATTTATCAGATATTTAAAATTTATTAAACCAAAATGAAATTATTTTTCAAATGGTAAAAATTATAAAATAATATTCACTTAAAATACAGAATCAACAACAATGATCGTGATCTGCAGGGGGATCGACGATGACAGTATAGAAAGGATAAAAGTAATAATAGACTAGCTGCTTTTGCTTGGTAGTTTAGTACGTCTGCATATATGCAACTACACCTTTTTTTTTTTAATTTAACTCTCTAACATTCTCTCTCCGTTTTGAGATCGTGTTTTCGTAATCGTATACATCGATCTGCCCACATTTTTCATGTGCTCGGAAGCATGGCATGCCAGTTGAACGACGAATTCTCGATCGACTCGTGGCGACTGTATCGAAAAACGCGTAGCGAACGATAAATCGTCCACGATGCCGACAGCTCGACAGTGCAGCAGGGCGATTTGTTCTGGTCGAGGAAATTGCTGGGAATTAGGAAAAGCCAGGGAAAGAATGTAGCGCGGACCGAGTCATTTGTACAGGGTGTGTCGCCTAAGAATAGAGTTTGATGTATTTACCTGGCAACTGAAAATCGCTGGAAAATTCGTTTCGAAAATGGTCCATTAACAAACATCTTTCGCGATCCATTCATCTACGATTACATACAATATTTTAATTTAAATTGTGATATTATCCTTGATTTTTTAATTTCACTATTCAAATCAAAAACGAAACGTTGAATTCTAATCTTAAGCAACTCACTCTGTATACGTGTGTCTATTTATCTATCTACTTATAGGCAAGGTAAAATTATTACATGGACATTCTGTTGGATTTAGATTCATCGACGCCATCGACGTGGCGAGGCCAAGGGACATGACTAGGAACCACGTGGTCAGCACAGAGTATTCCCAAAAATTTTTGCCGACTGAGATCTACAGGTAAACCTACCACGATTTTGGTTCTCGACTTGTAAAATGAATTTTAATAAAAAGTAATGTAATCCTATCTTCCCTGGATACCAAATAAACGCAATCTTTCGAATTCAATTCTCGGTGGCTTGAAATTTCAAGGTAGCTCTATCTTTCGAACACAGGATCCCGGACGACGGTGCAGCCAGAACGGAAATCGCCGAGATGGAAACAGTTCTGTGATCTTAGAGAGCCGGCTACGATTGCCCAACCCCTCAGGAAGCGTGTAAGAGTCCCGGAAAAGCGAATCCAGTCGCTTCCCTAATTTCGGACAACGAGTCAATGCCTCGTGGCCTCGTCGAGGCTTCCCTCGTTACGAAACAATCGGATCGATGGTGCACGACCATCGTGTGAAGTTTCTGAACCATCTATGGACAGTCTTCGAGAATCCCGGTTTCATACCGGAAGAAGATACGGGTGAACGTTCAGTGCCTACGAAGAAGATGAAAAGAAAAATGAAAATCGATCGTTCCCCCTTTCGAATTATTTCTGATTGTCGAACTGTGGATATTGACGGTGCCAGAAATCTGTACGGTGTTCATGTTGTGATTGCGTCCAAGTTCTGGGATGCTGTTGGACGATTTTTTCGAATTTTATGGTGTTTATCAGACTTTAGAAGAGCACCGTGTCGACGAACTAAGGAACGAATTCCCCGGTGGGATCGGACTGAAGATTTCTTGAAGGAATCTGAAATTCTGCCCACGTTTTGTTGAATAAGAAAGCAGCCGGGAGATAAGGTTGGCATTTTATGGGATTTGAAATGGGTTGCTTGAATTATTAGGCTGTTGTATATTAAATGGCTGATTTTCTATGGTGGACAGTCTAAAGGGAAAAGTATCGTTAAATAATAATTATGCCATATCAATTCAAAGCTTAATGTTTAATATAAATTACTATATAAATGTTTTATTAATGGTTGGTTGTCAATTGCAACATGCAATGAATTAAAGTGAAATTTTATATATGTACTTTTCTTCTTTCTTTTCATTTTAATTAGGAGATTTTGTAACGAATCGAAAGTATAATTATTGAAAAACTTTGTAAATAAATCGGCCATTTCGTTTACAATAACCTAATATCAGTTGGATTTCGAAGTAAGAAAAATTGAAAGATATTAATCGTGAATCGAGTAATTTTGTGAACATAAGAACGCTTTACTATTATATTTTATTATTTCCTCTCTTCGATGTAGGTGTCGTTCGAACGACAGTCATTGAAATGAAAATTAATGTATACATTTTTTAATAAACTTAAGGGAAAGGATTTTTCTTATCGTTGAAACGATACTCGGTTTCGAGGAATCCAATTGTCATATATTCAAATGAAATTTTGAGATTGTAATCGTGGATTTTCATATACTCGACGAATACATCGTTCCATTTCAACATTTCGAAAACTGCATATTGACTTTGCAGCTTGATAACGCCAATAAAATGAAATTCCAATCCTTTATTATTATTATTTGATAGCAGGTGATAAGTAATTTCATGAGAATCGATGAAAGAAAATTATTCAGGCAGCAACAATGCAATAGATAGTTATTGAAATTCCGAAATCTTTTGAGAATCTCGTTGAAATTTTGTACGAAACTTTGGTCCCTCTTTGTTCTTTTTTGCAAAAAGAAAAATAAATAGGGCGCACATTCGAGCCAACGACAGTTCGTCAAAACGAACTTTAAGGTGAGCAAATCGTTGCTAAACCAATCGACATCTTGATGGAAAATGTCAATGTGTACCATAAATGATGTAACTATGGCATTCGAGTATGTCATATATACATATATACATATATACATATACATTATATTTAATACGTAATGTACACACGAGATACTATTACACGTTAAGTATGTATATTGTGGTAAACAATGAAATATTCTAAAAGAAACCCACTTCGAGGACGTAATATGCTCAACAAAATGTACACGTAATAAAATTCACCGGGTGTTTACGATTTAATGAAAAATCATTGAGGGAGTGTCAGGTGTCGTGCGACAAATTTTTAGCGAAATAAATGAAGATCGATCCAGTGATGATTAACAATTTAATTAACTTGGTTAAATTAAATTAACAAATTGGTCAATTTTTCACTTTGTGCCAACAAATAATTTTTATACATCAATTTTGCAATTTCGCTATTGGTTATTTATAATTAATACACACATTTATTTATGAATATTATTAAAATTATATTTTCTCCCTCTACGTAATTGTCGTCAAAGAATTATCTTCTTGAAAAATATTTCAAAATAATCATCATTGGATTGTCTAAGAATTAAAATTCGATCAGAAGGGAATCAGGACGATTAGAAAAGTGCAAATTCGAAACTAAAAATTAGAACGTTACAATATGCAACGGTGCCTGAGACTGAATCTTATCGCGTGACATTTTTAATACGAAATATTTTCTAGCATAAACGAAACATCGAGTTTCATTAAATGGGAAAAAGAAACTTTGCGATTCGACGTCCTGACACTTCGCAAATCTCGCTGATGAAAATCTATCCTCGTAAGGAGTAGTTGAGGGAGGCCAAGTTCTTCTGATACAACAGAAAACAAACTGGGCAACCAAGAATATTGTGAGCGTGTGCATTTGCGTGTGTGGTTGTGTGTGCGCGTAGGAAAAATCGACAGTGATAGGTTTAATGTTCTAAAAACTACGTTTGCTGTACATAGAACGCATTGTACCGTGTAAGCCAGAAATCAAGCCCTGGGAAATTATTTATTTGTTGAACAACTTTTGCTGTACAAATGCTGCAGTCGTTCGAATTATCTTTTATTTTTCAAATTTAAAATTTTCAGATAAAGTTATTCAGAATAATAGTACGTGAGATTTTAGATTTAAATTGTAAGAATTTTCAGAATTTTTGTAACCTTTTTTAGAATTATCATAAGTAAGCGATGTTAACATTGGATTTGAAATTCTAATTACTAAGGATAAATATTAATAGTTCATTTTCAAAATTAAATTTCGAACTTTCCATCTATGCAATCCTTTTCTTTTCTTTTTCTAATTATTGGATTACATTACATTTGACACACACTCATGTGTTAAGTAATTATGATTGAAATTAAATCTTAAATCTAATTTCTAATTTGATCCCAAATTATCTGAAATAGAGAATTACTAATGAAGTGTTGCAAAAATTCTCAAAATCTATATTAAACCTGAATGCTTCCAACAGCATAAACTGTATCGAAGAAAAGCTACGAATTTTGAAAAAACAAATATATATCAGGCTTATTTCCTGTGGCTCAGCTATTGTGGCTTACGCTGGACATCAAAAAATTCCACTCGAAAGCACTTGTTTCAACTCCTCGCAGATTAAAAAAAAATTCAAAGCAACCACATAAAATTAACACCTTTAAGAAGATTCGATAAAAATTTCTTCAGAAATATTTGAACAAAGAATATGATAATATAAAATCGAAGTTTTTCATTAATCTTTATCGAATTCCATTGGCATTCTGAATTTTATATAAATGATTTAATTCTTGTTTCGAGGATGAGACACGAGTGCTCCGTTCACAATTCCAACGATAGTATCTTGCTATCGAAGAACATGTTGTTACTGTTGTTGTTAAAGATAATGGAAGTGTTACATTGTTAAGTCAAGAGAGAAAGTGAGCGAGAGAATGTGATTATTAATTATTCCTCTGAAAGCTATGATAAAGAAAGAAAATCGGATTGAATGTGTCGATCATGCTATGATTAACATCTCTATCCGCTATTGTTAACACTTTAACGGCCATACATTTTATGAGATCTATGATCTTTGTAATTTTATATTAATTCTCGTTGTATTGAAATGTTGGTTACCATAGTAGTAATAGGAAACTTTACAGTACACGATAATACGGGTTTAAGAACACTAAGGATTCTTTTTATTTCAATTCTGATAGTACTTTCTTTTGTTATTTAATAATTTAAATGTCATGGGGTTATTGGCGATCGACAATATTAATTGATTATAATGGAAAAGCTGCAAAAGAATTTTGTTAATTCTAAGAAATTCTAATTTGTTAATTTTCTAATTTTCTAATTTATTATTTGAAAACTTTCCCTCTTTTAAATTTTACAATATTCATTTGGATACTATTTTCATTAAAAAATTTCGATACCTAATTTTAATCAAAGCACTTGCCTACATTCGCTTGGTCTGACATATGATTGACTTAACTCCTTAATTTGCAGATTAAATTTGTAGCGTTGATCACTGGCGACCCCAAGTTTATTTAACGTTCATTTACTTATATATTACTTTTCAATTCTTCAATTTTAATTAATTTTTAAAGAATATTAATTAATTTTTATAGAATTCTATTTACACAATTTTATTTTCCAAGACTTCTTTTAAAGTTTAATTAACGAAATACTAATAAATATAGATAAATGGTAATGTGAAAAGCCACGCGTCGAAATCAGCTGCCGTCAAAGTGTTAAATATTTAAACACGTAAAGCTTAGCCCATTTTTCGATCGACAGAGATCTACGCTGTTTCCATCCGACAAAAAACGAGAGAGATTCCTTTTCACCGTGTGCCCACTCGCCACTGAATGATCGTTTAAGAATAACCTCATGTAATTCCTCGCAATTATTAGACGAAGAGATACTCGATGGTGCGTACAGGTCAATGGAATGATTTTTCTATAACGGAGCATGATTTTCATCCGAGAATTCGCGTCGATACAACGAACAGGCATTTGGAGTTAACTCGGAAATTTATCCTCGACTGCTCAATCGTCAGCGAATAACATTTTTCATTGATTTGACGTTGTTATAGAAATTTCAACTGAAGAAAAAATTTTCCATTTTTTAAAATGTAATATTTAAAGCAGTCCATGATAGTTTTGATCGTCGAGAAACGAGTGAAAGTTTAAAGAAATTCAATTTTCATCGGCGATCACGAGTTCTTCCTTTTAAAAAGAAAACACTTCGACGAATAACGAAAGACCGTGTAAAAATATATTTTCGTAATTAGAGAACGAAACGAACAGTCGGGACAACCCTGCGAACCGAGAAATCGTGCGCACACACGAAATAGCGGCCTTAAATAATAATTTTTCAGCGTCGTACTCGTGATCTCCCAAGATTCTCGTACCCGTAATCGTAGATTAGTCATTCTGGGATGAACGATTGGCTTCCTTCCGCCGTTTTCATCCTAGATTCGTGTTCCTCGCACGCTCATTTCTTACCGGGACTCTTTCGATCAATCATTCGTCGTCATTTCATTAAATTAGTATATTTAGTAAGATTACAGAATTTATTAATCTTTTCAACTTCACTATGGATAATTTAAAATAAAATAACGATTATCAAAGATATTAAAGATTATTTTGAAATTTTCTTGAATTCTCTTTTTTTAAGAATTAAGAAGACCTGAAAAGGACTTTAAAATGAGGTAGATTCATTAAAAAAGTAAAAATTGTGACAATTCTTCTCTTTGCAAATCAAAATTTTATTATAACTTTACATATTCATAGTATCTTTATATAATTTAGAATCGATTGCCACTTATATTAATTACAAATTAATTAAATTAAATTTCAAACACATAGAAGTATAAAAGTCATTTTATATCCTACTTGTAGAATTTTCCAATAGGACCAAAATATAGTCCTGTAATAATAGTTAACAGGTGTCAAAAATATTTGATTAACATTTGAAAATCATAGGATGTTCCAAAGGTACTATTATAAAATTCTACATTATTCGTGTACCTCAAACAGCGATAATAGTAGCAATAACCAGCCACTTTACAATATTCATTTTCACGATCGACGAACTTTCGAAAGAAGATCGAAAGGGTCCAAGCCACGTCCGTGATAAATCTAAAACCGCATTTCTCAGTGGATTTAAAAGAATTAGATTAGTAAAAATCGCGAGGCATCAAAATTCATCGTCATCGTGGACGATGATCGATTTCGTGCCGAGATACGAAGAAGAAAAAGGATAGCTAATTAAAAAGAAAATTCCGATTGCCGCGACATTGCGATCGTACGTATGATAACGAATGCGTGTACAAACGGTATAAAAAGAAAAGTACTTTGTTTGTATTGTATAAACTCGTGCGTGTACTCATCTACGATATGTGCATAAGTGCGACAAATTTTTTGGATAATCGTCGAAGAAACTCGAGTTCGCGCTTCTACGTCTTCACCATCGAGGATATTAGCGGGCAACAGAGAACCCTAGGATTAGTGTTAGACCAGCAAAATAAATTTAGCGACGAAAAATAAACCTCGCCAACCGGAAACCTTTTCGAAATGCCTCGAAAGGGTCTGTGTATTTGTGTCAGCGTACGTTTTCTATTTTTTTTTTTTTTTTTCCATGGGAGAAATAAGATTATTGTATCAAAGAAACGGAGGTTGAGACGGAGAAATAATAGATAAAGGAAGTTCGCGAATTCCGCGAGGATATCACTGGTGTTGATGGAGAACAAAGGATGATCGTTGACCAATCATTTCGCGGAATGTGCGAACCGATGGCTTTTAAGGAACATATGTGGCACGTGATTGTATGTTGTTTCAAATAAAACATTGTTGTTTTGTATACTACACAGCTGGTGTTTTATTTTTAATATTAAGATCAACGTAGTCCCGTTTGGAACTTTTTTACTATTTAAGTTTTACTGTCTTATATTTCCCTATTTCCGGTCAAATCCATCGCTATCCTGCACTCACTAATTCGCGATTTGTTTGTTTATCCAGGTCTTATATTTCGCTAGATCCGGTTGTATCTATCACTATCCTAAATTCCCTGTTTCCCTATATTACCTACCGTTGATATAATTGTCGCGTACTTTATCGGCGTCAACAATTACTGATGCAATTTTACCGCAATAGCCACATTTTCATTAATTAATACATAAAGAACACTAATTTATATAGCCCTACACCGCAACCGATGCCGGTATGTAAAGAGTGTCACCGTGCTTCGGGGTCCCTAATACCCCAAGATGATTTCAAGTCGGTATCCAGAGAGCGCCATCGATATATCGGGGTCCCTGATGCCCCGGATACCGTAATGTCGGTATGTAAAGAGTGTTGCCGGTGCTACGGGGTCCCTGACACCCCGGATGCCATAATGTCGGTGTTATCGGTGCTTCGGGGTCCCTAACACCCCAAGACGATATCAGGCCGGTATGTAGAGAGCACCAACGATGTATCGGGGTCCCTGACACCCCGGATACCGTAATGTCGGTATGTAAAGAGTGTCACCGGTGCTGCGGGGTCTCTGACACCCCGAATGCCATAATGTCGGTAAGTGTTATCGCTGCTTCGGGGTCCCTACCACCCCAAGATGATATCAGGCCGGTATGTAGAGAGCGCCAACGATATATCGGGGTCCCTGACACCCCGGATGCCGTAATGTCGGTATGTAAAGAGTGTCACCGGTGCTACGGGGTCTCTGACACCCCGGATGCCATAATGTCGGTAAGTAAAGACTGTTATAGGTGCTTCGGGGTCCCTAACACCCCAAGATGATATGTCGATGTGCAGAAAGAATCACTGGCGCTGCGGGGTCCCTAACACCCCAATGTGATATCAGGTCCGTATGAAGAGGGCACAACCAGTGCAATAATTGTCCTCTAATTTCCTTCCGGAGTTTATTTAATTTACTTTATTTACTTTCTTTGCGTATTAAATAAGCTCATCGAAGGGAAATAACATTCATGACTGTATCCCTCTTTTGGGCCTCGGCTGATCACCCCATTTTCTTTATTATTCTATCCTTCCTTATGAGCCCCACTTTTCCAGTTATTTATTATTTGATGCTTCCATATGGGCTAAAGCTAACCCTTATCAGTTATTAATTATTTTATCTTTCTTTCTGGGCGAAACCTATGCTTCCTAATTATTTATTATTTTATTTCTCTTTATGGGCCCCGCGGAGACCACCCTTCCCAGGTATTGTTTATCTTATTCCTACTCTTTGTGGACCAAGGCTTCTCTTTGCAGTTGTTAATTTTTTTCATTCTTTCCATGGAGGATGGTGGGGGGTCTTATGCCATATTTCTCCACGTAAAAAAAAATACAAAAAAAAGAAACAAACCGTAACAGCGCCCTCTAGCGGCAAAAATACGAACTAAAATCTACACGTCGAAGCAGCGCCCTCTGGTTGTGGAAAAAGGAACTAAATCTATACAAATTCGCCGGCCCTCTAGCGGCAAAAATGTGAACTAAAATCTTCACGTCGAAACAGCGCCCCCTGGTAGTAAAAAAAGGAACTAAATCTATACAAAATCGCTGGCCCTCTAGCGGCAAAAATGTGAACTAAAATCTTCACATCGAAACAGCGCCATCTGGTAGTAAAAAAAGGAACTATATCTATACCAAATCGCTGGCCCTCTAGCGGCAAAAATGTGAACTAAAATCTTCACGTCGAAACAGCGCCATCTGGTGGTAAAAAGAGGAACTAAATCTATACAAAATCGCTGGCCCTCTAGCGGCAAAAATTTGAACTAATATCTTCACGTCGAAACAGCGCCCCCTGGCTGCAAAAATGGAAGCTAAAGTCATCACAATATTTTGATTTCTGTGTAAGTCCTAAGAGATGCCCGGAATATAAGGAATGCAGAGATGTAAGGGATGCACGGTTGTAAAGGATACACGGTTGTAAGGAATGCAAAGGTGTAAGGGATGCAGAGATATATGGGAGACAGTGGTATGAGGGATGCAGAGATGTAAGGGATGCACGGTTGTAAGAAATGCAAAGGTGTAAGGGATGCAGAGATATAAGGGAGACAGTGGTATGAGGGATGCAGAGATGTAAGGGATGCACGGTTGTAAGGAATGCAAAGGTGTAAGGGATGCAGAGATATAAGGGAGACAGTGGTATGAGGGATGCAGAGATGTATGAGGTGCAGTGGTATGAGGAATGCAGAGATGTATGAGGTGCAGTGGTATGAGGGATGCAGAGATGTATGAGATGCATTGATGTAAGGGTTGCGGGGGTATAAGTAATACATGGCTATAAGAGATGCAGGAATATAAAAAATGCAGAGATGTGTGGAATACTGGGATGTAAGTGATGCGGAGATGTGAAGAATGCAGAGATGTAAGCAATGCATAGAATTGAGGGATGCAAATTCGTGACAGATGATAGGATGCTTCTATAATTCCTTTCAACTATTTCATTACTAAGGAAAACTACAATCACCTACCCTAATTGGTTACTGTATAATTAGGATGAATATAGTTATTTAGCACCCGATTATTGCATATGACTAAACAATGTTATACAGTAGACTGTCATTATAACATATCCCCACTAATGAGGAAGCTTTCCCAAACTTCTAAGCTCTCATTTTACAGAAAGAGAAGAAGAGATAGTGGTATATGATCTTCGTAAACTATAATGATGGAAGAACGACACTAATTTCCTTAAAAATCCATGCGAATGTCAAATCGCTCACATGGTAATATAACGAGAATCTGCTGTATATTTACACGTATCTGTTTCAGTATCATCATGCAAAGGAGTTAACTAAGGAAAGCTTACGTTACAACATATAAACTGTACCGTAAATCAGATCTGACGTAATCTTTGTAGCCCATCGATTTCATTTTCATTAGCCTCGCCTGCTCCATACTTTTACAAGTCCCTTCAGCACCGTTCGTTTTATTCTTGTTTATTCCCGCTTTTGCTAGCTCGCTACCTCTCCCCAAGGTATTGTTGTTTCCCCAGAAACGGCGAAAAATCGACGGAACCACTAATTGGTTCTGTCAATCCTGTTGAGGGCAGTCAGTGGACGGTGGAGGGTGGTCGGTGGGCAGGGAGGAACGTTGAAACGACGAAGCATGGGTCACGTCGACCGGAAAGATTCGTTACGGGAATACAACGTTCCGGGAGAACAACTTTCATTACAGTTGCGTGCTTTTTCTGGCCGGTTCCTGTGTTTTTCTTTTCTACCTTTTGTTATTGGCTCGCCTGCCTTTTTCAATAAGCGCGGCCAAGCTTTCGCGGCACGCGATTTCGACGCTTCGAAACGGCACCAATCGCGAAAAATGAAGCAACCGATGCGTTGTTCCGAATTGCCGGAACGTGCAATCCGCAAGCGAAAAGTTGTACACTGAATTGTATCCTGTTTTTGTTCCATTCGTTTTTACTTGTCGATAACGAGACTCTACTTAATTTTGGTATTTGATCATTTCATAAGTCTGCTTATTTTGTTCCGTCTGTACAATGGTTAACGATACAAGCATAATAAAAGTATAATGAAAATTTTATTTTTAATTTTCTTCTTTATACTTAAATTAAATATTATATTAATTTTGCTAATATGAAACATTTCAATATTACCGAAATTAATTTCTATTACAAAATTAGTTTCATTGCAATCCTTCGATGAGACTTGATACGTGAACATCTTCAGAAGCCAATCAACTTGAAGCGTACAGAAATCAGCTTCAGTTAATTAAATTTGCTTTAGTTAATTTAAAAATTGATTGGCTAAAATAAATATTCATAAGTAATAACTTCGTCGAATAGTTTAAGGAATTCAATTTCAACACCCCATTTTTTGAATGTGAAACACGACGAAAAGTTAGAGAGTAATTGAAATTTCACTGTATAATGTTGAACGATACCATGTATCATGGCGTGTGTTCTCGAAGTCGAGGTTTAATGCTTCAACGCTCAACAAGCTCGTAAAAGCACAAAGTTCGTTCAGAATTTCTATCAAACGAATTCCTTTCTTTACTGTACGCTTCACACTGTACGACGTGAATTCTTACTTTCAATTAAAAACCAAGTGGTTTATTGCAATATTTGTTAATTAGATAGTCGTTAATTTGTATAGAACTATGCATTGATTGGCATCTTAAACTAAATCTCTTATTTTTTTACAAAAAATATGAAAATTAATTTATAGAAGTGCATACTTTGTTAATAATTGGCGAATGGTAATTTTATATTAATTTGGTAAATAAAGTATAAAATCCGCCAATACAAAAATTAGTATAACGAGTTTCTAATAATGAAGAGAAAAGTAATAAAAAATTAACAATTTTGCAAACCAACGAACTACTTGCCTTTGTTCTGAAAAATGAATATTCATTTATAAAATTGTTAATTAAGTTTATTCGTATTAAAAAATATTACTCCTTTTATTTCCTATCTTTAACATTACGTTATGCTATACCTTGTATTGTACATTACAATTTCGTATTAATAACACATTATATAAACAAAAAGAAAAATCATACATGTAAAGAATGAATATCTAGAACGAGAATAATTCATACCAGAGCATACCTACGCAGTCTGAGATGGTTGTTATACACATACACATACATCGTTACTTATAAACAACTAACGCGAACTAAAATTGTACGAGTCCTTAATTAATATTTCTATGAAAATAAACAATTATCTACAGACAGCGTGAGAAGAAACAAAATGGGCCACTTAAGTGTCCTTAATCCACCTGAAGACAGAATGTTAAAGAAAACATTCTACGCACAAGTAGAACACACACATAGAATATCAAACCTTTTCAGTTTTGACCAGCACATTTCAATAAGTCCAAAAAAAAGTGATCCATCGTTGTACCGTCCCTTCAAGGGCAGTAATGGTCCTTCTGATTCAGCCCGTGATTAGCACTCGAAACACATGGCTAACACACAAGGTTATTTTTCACGTTCAGTCTGTTCGGCAGGTTGCAACAGAAACGAAAGGAAATCGATAATTAACTCGTCACTCAATTTCCTAGCAACAACTGACGATGACTCGTAAAAGTATATCGAATGGAATCGATGACTTTCGAATACGTTCCTCGTCACTGCACCTCGCAGACGAAGAAAGTTTCAAAACTACATGGGCTGTCGTTCCACTTTAACCCTTTACCATCCCTGTTCCATAATTCGAGACAATGCTCCTCTTCACCGTTCTCGTATCTGGAAGGAACAAAAGATTGCATTGTGTTTCTGTTATTGTTGTTTTGTTACAAGAGGTGTTATGAGAAATTATTGGAGTTTGAATTTTAATGGTCCACTTCGAATTGAGGATAATATAAAGCAGTGCTTCCCAAAGTTGGAGATATTATCTTCTTATGGGCTTTGGAACAATTCATGGGGGCGGTAGTGGCTTTAAATGTAATCGAGGGGTATAAATTGGTCACTGCATCTTCCTGTTTGTTCGTTTAAAGAAGGTAGATTTTCGGAGGGTTCTGAGTAAAGCATAGAAACAGTAGATTAATAAGTTTGGAAACTTCTGATATAAAGGTACCATAAAATGGCATGTATGGAATATGAATTTGAAGCTTAAAGTTTGGTATAAATGACTGATAATTAATTTGGGTGCTGAGTATAGCATGGTGGACGGTAGGTCAAATAAGTTTGAGAACCTCTGATATAAAGATACCATAAAATGCCACTTATGGCATATCAATTTCAAACGTAAAGTTTGGTGTAAATAACTGATAATTAATTTGGGCGATAAGTAAATCATCGTGGGCGATAGGCCAAATAAGTTTGAGAACCTCTGATGTAAAGGTACCAGAAAATTACAGTTATAATAATTATAATTACTAATAATACCATCGCTTCATTTTCTAAAATATCTAAATTAGAGTACAAAGATTAGAAGAATTTCACCTGAAATTATTTGGTTCGCCGACATTCCAGTTTTCAAATGTAATAGGCCTGCCATTGGCCATCCAAAAGAAGGTACCTTCTTCAGCCTGATCAGTACCGGAAGTCCAAAAATGTTCGTGCCCTAAGCCAAAATCTTTGATATGTTTCTCGAGCCTGTCGTTCTCCTCTTGCGAAGCTATACTCGCTAAATGCATTCCATGGTACCGGCAATATTGGGACGCCCTGTACCAATTAGCCTGAAACACATCAAATATAATATTATTATAGAAAAAGTTCATTATTGAAAATAAATTAAACCCTGGTTTATAAAGAATGTACTTGTGGTTCATTGAATTTTGCCCCCGAGTGTACTGAACATTTATTAATAAAACATGAACCGAAGAGAATTTCCTAATTTATTGTAATCACTTGAAGGAATAACAGCTTCAGAGCCTCATTAGTGACGGTGCGTGATCCTTTAGCTTCGACGAAGACTATGGAAAAACGGTCTTATCTGATTATTTATGGCAAACTAAATAAGGTGGATAAGAAATGAGGATCGCGAAGGGCGAATAATGTATACCAATCTGAATAATAATTAATGATGTTATTGTAATATTACTTTTAAAACTGATATACTTGGAAAGGTATCGGAATTTAAACGTTGATAATAATCGTTTGATAAATTATATGTAATATGGTATTCAAACGTAAGCTAATTGGGTAATTAATTACCGTTATGTATTCAACTAATAACTCCGAAGATATTAATTAATTCAAACATATAATTGGATAGGTAAATAATTATTTAGTTGGTGCTTTACCTATAATTGGGAGACTATAATTGTAATATAATTAAACCCATGCATTATTGTATAATAATACATGGTTTTTCAAATAATCATTTTCATAAATAAAAATTAATTTCTAATTCTTACATGAAAGGTGATGAATTATTGATTAGAAATAGAAAAGGTTAAATTGAATCAGAAAATCAAAATCATTTACTAACTAATTAATGTTCAACTAGCTGTTCAAATTAAATCCCTCATTAGCACAACATTTTTTAATTAATATCAATCTGTAATCACTCTGAGAAAACTATTCGCTTCTCCAACCCCTTCAATCCAACCCTAAACATCGAATGGTATCGTAAATGTTCGAAACGAAGACATCTGTATGAAAGGATTGTTTTCGGACACAAGTATCGGCCGAGCTTTGAACGTGTCACGGGTATTGTCAATATTTTTTTGGCGCAAGATATCGTGGACAGTGGGCACGGTTCAAAGGGCTGGCCGTGTCATAAATTCGCCAGGAACGAATGCGATTTTCGTGTCGACGTAGAGGAATGTTTTCCCCGAGGTTGCTCGACACACGTTTCACCTTCGTATACGAAGGGAAGGAGAAAAAGGGGTGAACTGAGGACACGAAAAATCGCGTGTAACCCGACGGGAATGCAAATAAAGCGCAGTAAATAGAACGTCCCTGCAGCGATTGCGCTGGTGTCGTTCAAAATCCTTTTCTTTTTCCTTCCTCGTTCTTCCATCGCGATGCTTCTATGCTTCTGTCGCGTCAGCTGCCTCATTGGATCCTTTCGAAACCCTATTTCCCATTTCTATATTTTTCCTTTACAAAGAAGCACGTCAAAATATGACCCATCATAATCTTGAGTTATATTCGGCAATGATATACATTACAACTTTCATGAGGAATAATTTGAATTTATGTAATACATTTTACATAAAGATAAAATGAATAATCCATATTACTATCTGGTATTATCCATTTAATTTTTCTTCGAATTTTATGGCTTCTTTATGGGAGAACGTTCTTGCATCATAAAGGAAAAGAAAAAGGAAATTTTATTTAATATAAATATCACTTAAAATTCCTTTATCATGATCGTATCGTATAAATTGTAGTTTAAATTCTTTCTTGAATCAAAGAAATACCTCTACCTGTGTATTCTTCGTTTTTCGAAGAAATTTCTGCCGACATTTCGGCATTTCAACGTGGCGCTCTGATAAAAGATTGAAAAGAAAAAAAAGAAGAGAGAAGCTATATAAACTTTCCTCGTCGTCTCGCAACTGGAATTTTTATCGTCGCCAGAGTTGCCATAAAGGTCCCGAATGATCGAGCATTCGCTTAATTCGCGTTTTAATGCCGTAATCGAATTGATTCGCGAATTGCTATCGACGATTCGAACCCGATGAAAATACCGGTTCTTTATGGGAGAAGAGGCGAACCAAGCCACTCGTTTTGTCCAGCAAATTACCCATGGCAATCGATGAACGTGAAAAGAATTATTCCCGATCGCGTATACGAGTTCGCCAGTTTTTTCTCTTCCTTGTAATTACCCTTTTACTTTATTCCCAATGAAAGAAGGAGCGCACGTTCCAGTTTATTCGAACGTTTCGAATCCGCCTCCCTGTATCTCTTTCGTTCATTTTTCATTTCTTTTGTGAATTATGTTATCGTTTTCTACGTTCATTCATTAATGTGGAAATATGAAACATTGCGTATCGATTTATCGATGAAAGATAACTCGTCCATTTGAAATCGTCTGTTTATGCACATAACGCTTTTTACTTATCAATAAATACTGTGTTTATAGAGAAAAGGGGAGATTAAACTGTTTGGTAAAATAAATAGTACTTAATGATTTAATTAGTCTAAGACAATTTCATGACACAAAATTTTTGTAAAATAGCACATGTGGCATATGGATTTAAAGCTTAAACTTTCAGAAAAATGATTGTATAAACGTTTCATTGATATTTTCGATACAAAATGGCTGCTGTTTCGTTGAAACGAATAATGGATCAATCAATCTGTTGTCCATTAGCGAATATTCAATTCTTAATTATTCATTTTGTATTAAGAATATTAATGAAACTTTCATACAGTAATTTTCATCAAACATTAAGCTTTAAATTGATATGCCATAAGTGCCATTTTGAAATAATTTTCTGTCATGAAGTTGTCTCACTCAGACTTCATACATTGATTCCAAAATCCTTCGTTTGATATGCAACATCTCGATATAATCAAATCATCAAAGGTAGAATCAAATCATCTACGTCTATTATATGAAATAGAGTTAATTAAATTTAATTTCAAACGAATGTTGCCTCTTCATTTCAATCTACATTGATACCCGTCGTCTTTCTCGTTCAGTTCGTTTATCATCGGATGAAAAGAGTAGCGGACACATCACTCCGAAAATACGAGCTTAAAAATGCGAGCACAGGTCCGCATAAATTTCCCTTGGTGCTCCATTACAGCTAGCAAATGACCGAGCAACAAGCATTCTCATATTTTTCCCGCGATAGGGTGAACGCAAAGAAAAGCGTACCCTGCATACGACATTTGTGTATTTCCCAGCGACAATGCCGTTGAAATATTCCAAATATCTACAATCTACGGTACAATGTAATTACTTTGCCTCGTATGGTGCATTTCAAAAAACAAATTTCATTAGAAATTTCTTGATACAGTATAAGTCTGAATCAGACAATTTCCAATATTAAACGAAAGGAAAACGTCCATGAAGAATTCTAAGATATAAATCTAAAGAAATCATCATATTATGTTAAATAGAAAATAAATAATAATTTAAAGAAAGTGTTGAAATTCAAGAAAATTATGAAAGATGATAAGCTGAGCTTTTTCACATATATTTATGTATATTTAAAGTAAAAATTCAAATTTCATAAGATACTTTATTAAAAATTGAAGGAGTTATAAACAGCTGAAAAATGAATGAATTTAATATAAAAGCGTCTGAGTTATTTTTCCAGCGAAAGGGTTAAGAATATAGAATAAAGGTTTTACTCAAAGGACACCGTTATAAAGTGATTGTTTGCAGACGAAACAAAAGGGATGTTCAAAAGGACGTTCCGTTTCCGTTGATCCGATTACACGGAGGATCAAGATCAGAAACGTTGGCCTGTTTGCGAAACACCCGTTTATCGGCCGAGGAAGGCTTTACGTCATTTCCACCCACCCTTTCAGAGAGATCGTTGCAAGGCCGCAGACCGGACACGCTGTCTGATTGCAAAATCTCTCTTAATAATACTGTTCCGTTGCGTGCGAGTCAAGGAAAGTAGGTGACCCGAGGTGGAGCAACGGAGAGAGAGTTGTTCCATCGCTTCATCCGTAACTATATCCATTTTCGGACAGCGATTCGGAAACGAGAGAGTCAACTCATGCTTGCTCTTCAGATAATCAAGTTATTTAACAAATAATTTTAAACACATTTTTCAAATTCCTCACTTTACAATTTCAATGATATTTAATCACCCCATTTTGAAAAAACTTTTCTCAAATTGTATACTGTTATAAAAAAATGATGGTTTCACAACTCTAAAATAATATTTTTTCTCAAAAAAGTGATGAAGATTAAATATTCATAAAAGTGAATTAAATGAATAATAAGTAGGTAAGGAATTGAATAAAGCAGACTCTACCATTAAAGGAATGAAATAGAAATAATTTAAAATCTCAGAAACTCTGCAGAAAAGCTGTCAGTTCTTAACAGACATTGTTTGAAGATTTTGCTCTGGCATGAATTCGTGGTCGCGATAAGTGGGTCTTCGGGGGGTCTAGGTTAGATGGAAGACGGCAAAGAAGTAGGTGATGGGTTTAAACTAGACACGAATACGTAATAAATGGGTTAATGGTACTTCTGGGCATCGATCGTCCTCGAAGTGCTAAAGGTGTCACGGTATTCCTAATTCCGAACTAACGGGATCGTTGTGAAATTTCTATATTAGAATTGTACATTAGAATGGTGAATGTGAAATTCGAAGTCGTTAAACCAGCATGTGTTGGCGAGGTACTGATATATGTTCATTTGGAAATAGTAATTTGAATACTAAAAGAAAGTAGAAATTCGATAAATTTGGTATACTATTTTTATAACATTTGGCTCTTTTTATTGGATAAATCTTCAAGAAATGGAAAAGATTATTTGTAATTGATTAATTAAAATTGCTCTCATTAAAACGAAGTTATACTTCATTCAGCTATAGGTAATATGGCATTCAAAATATTAATGCATTATTTCGTATTTAATTATTTTTCCTATTATATGCAACAGATTTTAACGCTTTGTTCATATTGTATTATTACATCCCTCAAACTCATCCATTTATATCAGATTCATTCCATAGCCAGTTTTATTATCTTTTAATTAAAACACAGTAATTCATCTGAATTGAATAAATTTTATAAACTTATCTCTCTGTAAATTAATTAAAATATTCAGCCAAAGAGCATTAGACGATAAAAGGTAAAATACTTTCAAGAAAACAAAATTCTTAAGCATACTGATGCTTTCTTTGAACGTTTACTTCACAAGAACTTATTTTCATTCTCAGTCATGGAAGAAGAATTTTGACACGATGCAAAATTGATCCTGTGTCAACCGCCTGCGACGCTATTCGATGCTCGACTACTTCAACGTTAAAAAGAGCAAAGGACTTCTTATCGAAGGTACCCGTGAAACACAGAGTGAACGTCAACTTCATGAATACTATTTTACAAGAAATTGCCTATCAAAGGTGGAACGAAGTTTTCCCCGTCTCGGCAATAAGTTGACAAGGTAATCTCTTATTTTACGTCATTCAAGGGGAAGACATCGCAATTTCTCGAGGGTTCTGATCGGTCAGACTCACTTTTCCGCGTTGCACAAAGCGTGCATGAGGTTCACGCTCAGCTGAAGAGATCGATAACAGGTTGGTCCGGGATTCGATGCACCGTAAAGCGTGCAGAGACGGCGAGCGGGAAACTTACGAGCTTGGAAATAATTTGATCAAGTCCGGAAGGCCGCGTTCACCGGACGGTTAGATAAATCAAAGTAATTGGCAGCTGTGATACCTTGAAGAAGATCCCCAGGTAGTATCTCTTCTCGCCTAGCTTCAACAATGGCATCGTCCATCTCGACGCCGCCAGGCTGCTACTGTGCTCGTCCACGCAGTTCGGGCAGTCATCTGTAAAAGAAAACGTGAAGAAAATCTTAGTATTAAGCTTTTGTTGCCGCAGCTATTGTATTGTATTTTTAAAAATTTCATTCATTCATTTATTACACTTAAGTGCAAAAATTAATTTTTTAGCCATATTTGCTTATATTCAATTTCGAAAATTTTTCTAAATAATCTTTAATGTATTCTCTTTTTAATAAAAAAGAAATTAAATCGATTTGTGCAATAGTTTTTCTCTAATAATTTTTTTAAGAAGTCCTTTTCCTTCATAGTACCAATCCCCTTTCCCCTGTACTCAAAATTATTTTTGCCTCTAAGTAAGAAACTCAGTTATCTTGTTAGAAGGGAAATCAAATTTTTTTTTAAGTAAATTGAATTGTTAAGCTGGTTGCAAAAGTGTTAACAAGGTTCCATGCTCGACACATTCATTAACCTTTCGATTATCTCTTCGAGAATTGCTCAGAAATCCTAATTTTCCACGGGCATCGTGCCGTTATCGCGTCCACTGCAAGGTATTCGCGTAATCGAGCGGGATAATACGAGAAAATTGCATCGCGAGAAAGTTGCTCAGAGTACCATCTTCATCATCATCTTCTTCTTCTTCGTTCAGCAGGAATAAAAGGAGCTGCTTGCGGACGAACAAAACGCCTTCTCGGTTTCGTTAACGGGCTAATTAGAATGGCGTTTTGCATATTTTAATAATCGCTCCGTTAATCGCCGCGACGTGGTCCTGGAATACGTTTCCTGGCATTAATATTCAACGGAACTCTTAATAGACACCGCTACCTCTTACTTCCTGTCCCACTTTTTTCTCCGCCCCACCAAAACAACCCTTTCCAGAGCCATTGTTTCGTGAAATTTCAATAAAAATATCTGACAGAAAGGCGTGCATCAATTCTATCAAATACAATTTAACACCTTTAATGAGGTAAATATATATTCAGTAATTATTTTGATGCATTGGGTCAATTAAAAATAAATAACAATAATTACAATTTTAATAATACTACGTAATAACTCGAATAATTCAACTAAATAATGAATGATAATATTTATCACTATATGTTATACTATGATAGGGTAGTTTCGAGTGTGACAGTAATCGTGTTAAGGAGATTTCCCAGATATCCAAGAATGGTCATGGGTCGAATCGTAGAGTTCCTCGTTCGTTGGTCAGTGCTATTAAATTTCATTGAGCACCTCCGACCATTGTTTCACAATGCAGTGGCCAGTTTGACACGCAACACCGTGGTTAGAGTCTGGGTTAGCTACGTGATTCAGTTCACGACTGTTTTTCGATGAACTGAAGCTTCCGATGCGAGGATTCGAAAAGTTTAATGGACTTTAGGAGGAGTTATTTCTCGGAATTATTCTCAGTCATTTAAACATAATTAAACTTATGATATCAGTTAGCAATCTTTCTATGATAGGCAGGGTGTCAATTATTGATTTGTGCTACTTATTCGATGTGACCAAATAATTAAGAAAATTTGAACCATCGTTAAAATTACACGAATGGTATGAAATGTTAAATTAAATTAAAATATGGAATATTTTTCAGAAACGAAAATGTTCTCACATTTGCTCCAAAATTGTTACCCTTAAACTATTTCCTAATTTTTAAAAGATTTTTATTCTTTCAACTTTAAATGACAAAACCTTTGAATTTGATCGAATTAACTTGTTTTTCTTTGTTCGATAACGTTATCCGATATATCAAAAGTTAAATTCTACAGTGAACCAGGAATTTATTCCCAGTGTGATAGCACGATAAAAATGACGCGGTGTAATTAACGGAGTACGATCGACAAGCCTTGGGATTTCGTAACCGGCCAATAAACGGCCATGTTCGGCACAATACCGAATTCACAATACACCAGATCGAAATCCATCGCGTGAATTTACAAATCCGCGAACGGCCATTACCGGCCTTAAAAGCTGCGCCGACACGTCCACCGTCACTGGACGCTTTTGTCGACTTCGAAATACGAACGAGATTTGCGAATCGACGATCCTTAATCAAAAATATCGAATTTTCATTTTGCTCACCTTTGGTAAATCTATGGAGGCATAAAATTAGGTGAAAATTTAATGAAATGTGGGAAGTTTGAATTAGAAGCAAATTTGTAGGTTTGCGAATTTGTAAGCTCACGAATTTGACTATTGCTAATTTGTAGGTTCGCAAATTTGAAGTTCGCTAATTTATAAGCTTGCTAATTCGTAAGTTTATGAAATTGTAAATTTCTAACTTTGTAAATTTGCAAATTTCCAAGCTTGCCAATTTATAAGCTTGTTAATTCGTAAGTTTATGAACTTGTAAGTTTGCAAATTTCCAAGTTTCAATTTTGTAATTTTCTTTACCGTAAAAGGTACATAATTTTCATTATGTACATCACTTTTAGGTCATTCTATCCACACAATTGTTTGTTGCCAAATATTGCGTTTATTTACTTCATTTGCAAAGTCCGATTGACCGGAACAATTACTAAACGCGTGTTCGTTATCACGAGGATGCCTTCCAAAGTTGTAACGATCGAAAACGCGTTAATTCACCAATGATTTCGGTAATTAATGAATACGTTATAAAAGCTGGCGCACGTCAGGGATCGCTTGGTAAATTCAACTTGCCTGGCAGCTGTTTGGAACACGTCCAACCGGCCAGCCTATAATTTTATGAGCAACGATTGACCTAATTTGCTGCTGATTACAATGACGGCCCCCCTGGCGAAACGCAAAACGTACATACATACAAGAGATAATTAGCTCCATGAAAAATTCTGATCGTCGATTAAGATTCTCACTAATGATTGCATAATCATTAATTAATACTTATTAGAGACCTAAGAATTTACATTTTTTGGTGCTTGCATTGAAGATTTTGACAAGTGTACGAGATTTATGGTAAATTGATTTCAAAATTAAAATTCTAATTATTTTCTTGCTGTGACATTTTGTAACTTAGATATTTGGAGGGTAAACTCAGCTTTGAATTTTAATTGATTCACTTGAGAATTGATATAAATAAAAATTTTTAATTAAAAATGAACTAACTTTTTAATATCAATAAATATAATACATTTAAAATATCTGAGTAATGCTGAATAATTTTGCCAATATTTAATAAATGTGAAAATATAATCTCATTAAAAACTTTAACCACACTAGAACACACCATGAATGTGAAAGTTAATTAAATAGATCTCCACCACTTACAGAGGCAAACGTTGAACGTTCGTCGTAAGAACACGAAGATTCGAGGCACCCTTTAACTCAGGTTAATTAGTAAAAGTGAACTTCACCATGCTTCTTCGTATTTATCCACCTCCGGCATGGACGTATTTATCCTCCTATTTATCTCAATTCTTCGTGAAACCAGAGCGCAAGAGTGCACCACGGAAGATACATGGGCTGGAAAATTTAATCCGACAACTTTGCCGGAAACGTTCTCCCGTGGAAGTTCGACCGGTGAAAGGGGTGCGAGCTTTTTAGGACGGCTCGAAAAATTCTTTCGACAGACAAAAGATTATTCGGGAAACTTGAAAATTACCGATAAGAGGGTCGTCCGGAAGTTCAAAGGAACATCTATATCGACCAACTAATTTGCACAATCGAAGATGTTACACAGCATTATAAATAACAATAATTCATTTTTTATTAAGAATATTAAAGAAGCATTTACATTGTAATTTTCAGCAAGCTTTAAACTTTAAATTGATATATTATAAGTGTTATTTCGTGATGCTTTTATGTCATGAATTTATGTTAGACTTTATATCTTCCCAAATCAGCCATTTGATAGGCGATAACGCAATACAATTTCTTGGAAGGATCAATTCCTTCACGACCATAATTATATTATAATTCCATTCGTCAATATCCATTATATCTTCCTCTTTTCCCTCGATAGAGCAGAGGATTCTGATATTAAAAAAGAAGCTCGAACGTAATACGATTACGGGGAAGCATATCGATTATTCCGAGGACTTGAAATTACCGAGGTACATTCAGCTCGAACGGTTCATTTTTATTCTTTCACGTAACAGAAGCTTGCCGAAGAGAGTAGAATCAACCGGTTCTGAAACTTTCTCTGTCGATGTTGTACAGACGCCTGTTTGCGTCAATTCGTGATGACCTTTCGCGTGAGACAGGATAATTAAGCTTCCTCTGGGGAATTACTCATGGCGGGGAGGAATGCAGAAGAAAAACAACTCCATCTTAGTTTTCGTAAAAAATTCCAGCCAGAAATAAGGAGTTTATTTTTGCCGAGGGAATTATAAGAGAAGAAAAATGTATTGGGTTCAGTCTGTAATTTAACCCATACTTGAGTTCTTATTTTATTTATTTTATCATAAAACTGGATGTATAATGGAGACATTTTTTAATTACTCTTATCAGATGGTATCTAATTGCCGATGGAAGTTCTCAAACTATAATACAATTGAAATATTTAAAAACATTTTGACTGTATCGAATTCATTAGTATTAATGAATAATTTTAATTATAGCGAATTGCATTATTAATTGAAGTATTCGTTTTACCTTGCAAAAGCATATTAATATATTAATATCTGGCTTTGGTATGAGATTTTATAAATATCAAAAATGTGATCAAAAATCTTGAACGTTTAAATAGTAATTAAATTGTTCTGTCAGTGCATCATTGGATTATTTGTTTCAATAATGTAATTACTTTATAAAATTCCATTGGCCAAAATTGTTAATAAATACGATTTTAAATTTTGTATGTCATATAACATTCTCTAATCAAGATCAACTTGTAACGCAACAATGTTAAACAGGAAAATTCCATTAACGCCTACGGTCATCGTTAGCTATTTGAAATCATGCGTTCAAATCGTTTCAAAAACCACAAAACTCCTCCTTCGTGATATTTACTTCGCCTATTTTGCATTCTCGGACCCGGCTTGTTGAAAAATTATTCTTCTAGAGCGTAACGAGCTGAGAATGTTTCGCAAGAAACTGCTCCGGGATACCAGACCTGGTTAATC